AGAGAAAAATATAAGTGTTGACCCTACACCAACATAGGGAGATCCCTAACATTGTGATTTGCCTTTTGGAACGGACTGAATGAATGGACGAATGAAATGGACTGGAATGAAATGGACTGGAATGGAATCGGTTTACTGAATAAATGTATTGATGCATGACTTTCCGGTAAGACACACCCTTCAAATCATATATGACTACACGCTGGTGCTCCCGGCTATGGCTCCGGATTGGCTATGGCCTCTCGCGACTGCCAGGTGATATTCAACGGCTACGATGTGTACGGCAACCTGCTGAATCATCACCCAGCTCCCGGGAATGCAATTTGATCGCCCTTGCCCCTGGCAGATGTCCAATACCTGGATCCCTAGTTGCCTGTATTTTCCGGCTACTTTTGCCAAATTATGGGCTACTAGTGGGTAGGAAAACAGTAGGCTACTTAGGGATCCAGGTAGCATTTAATTTCTCGCTTTGAACATTCGGACCTCACTCCCTGAGTGCCGTTTCGGACTTAAGCCTTTTGGGAAGACTGAAAAACAAGAAGTTCATACTTTGTTTGGCCAGCCCACTCAGTTGGTTGCACAAGAGTGTTTCCCCTTTGGCCCAAGGGTGAACCCCCCTGTCCCCTAACATGGAGCCTGTCTGAGTCCTGGAAGACAAGTTTCCTTTCAGCTGGTCCCTAGGGTGGTTTCCATGTCAGTGGGCAGGAGGGCAACAGCTCAGTTGTTCAAAGCCGACCTTTTGACCTTTTGGCTTTCCAATTTTGGGTTCCCATATTTAGTCATGGCCCCAAAAGGTGATCACCTTTTAGTTCCAGGTCCTTTGGGCAACTGAGACAGAGATCTATCCGTCATTCCTTTCCACCAGCCGCCAGGGTCAGCAGCTCTGCGTCAAGAACTTTGGGTTTGAAGTGGGCCGATTGGGGCCGATTGCGGTTCGAAAAAGGGCCTTCCGAATGATTCCTCGAAGTGTTCATGGGACCCCTGGCACATGTTTTTTTTGTTTTTGTTGCCAGAGCTGGTGTGTTTGAGGAGGTGGTGGTTCAGGGTGGTGTCCTAGCTATGAGGGTGCAGACTTTGACAGCTCGAGTGATATCCTTGTCTCTGTTGGGTCTGAGGCGTGCATCTACTACGACATGGAGATCGTGCCTGGGCTGGTGACAAGGTTGCCATGTCCTGGGGAAGATGTGCCGGTGCAACATACAGCAGGGCCAAACTGCATGATGGGCTCCAGGGGTCCAAGGTTTTGTAACAAACGGGATCCTCAAACTACCTATTTTTACAAAATGACACCATCACATACATGTGCGGCGATAGTTATGGGTAGTTTGAGGGTTCAGGAAGATTCACCCTGTTGTGGGCCCCTTTGAACAAGCTCGAGCTTTCCGATGTTGACCCTTGATTCAGCAACCAGCGAGAATTCAGAGGAGTCGATTCTGCAGGTTTATTTGAACCAAGCACATCCTGGACTTTTTCTCCTTTTTTTTCGTGAAGACCATTTAAGCACAAGGATTGGACTCTGTTTGGCCAATCCACTCCGGAAGTGAAAAACACCCTTTGAATGTGAGTTGCCGGACCGATCTTTCCTATGGCGCCTTTTTTTCCAGCGGGTTCGTGGGTTTCAGTGCCGATCCGAGGATAAAAGCTCCTGGCACAGCTTGGCGGGTGCAGAGCTCAAGCAGCAGATGTACATGGGCAAGGACACCCCGCCCGTTTCACCCGAATTACACTTACGGAATTCGGGGAGGGGGGAATACATACTGACTCGGTCCCCCAGAGGGTTCCCCTAGTAAAATGGATTTAGATGATTTAGGTTGGCTCATCATACACCCCCTACTCCAAATACTGTACCCGGCCTTTTTTCAGTTGGTATCATGTCGACCTTTGACCCTTTCTTTTTTGGTTGAGAGGGTTCCCCTTTTTAAAATGGACTGCAGAAAAAATTGGGTAACCTTTTTCCAACCTCTCTACTGGAGGACCTAGATGAATTCAGGCAGGGGGAATTGGATAATTGCAGATCTTTTCATTTATAGTGAGCCTTTGGCGCATTTTGCTTGGATATTGAAACTTTAACTTTTTGCCAACTACTGATTTTCCCGTATTAAACCACTAAAAGTTATTCACTTTTAGCAGGGGAACAGATTTCGCCACCGAGGAGCCATGTCCCATGATTTGTTTCGGGGTTGGAAGACTAGGTAAATGGACTTGCGGAGCCTCCAGTCTCCAGTAGTAGTTCCCAGCCAGTCCCAGAAAGGTGGTTGAGGGTTTAGTGGTGGTTTCCGCTCAAGCACGAAAAGTAAAAGAACAACAGAAAAACAAACAACAACTTCAGCAGGGGATCTGAGAACAGCTCATGTCTTGGCTTTTCTTCTTCTTTTTTTACTTTATTAAAACAAAAATGAAGTAAAACCAAACTGGTTGAAGCTTTAAGGGACCCACGGACGAAAGAATCTCCCGGAAAGATCCGGTGCCTTTGGCTTCCCGAACTCCAAATCGAGGCCTCGCTGACGTCTCCTAGGTCCCGCGATCAGTGCCCTTCTCACCCGCTTCTCTTTTGGTTGGGAGGGATTCTTAGGGTTTAGGGTTTAGGGTTTCCACTAGAATGGGCTACAGAAAAAAGTTGGTACCCTTTATTCGAACCTCTCTACTGGAGGACCTAGACGGAATTCCAGCGGTCTGACATCACATGGGAATCCCTCGACAGGCACAATACCCCCGCAACCTCCAAGTACCAACTGTTTTCCGGTTACGATGTCAACCCTCTACAAGAAAAGGAGTCATTTTCCATGGACAACTGACCGCTTTTTTTCTCCCCCGAACATACCAACTGAACACAGCGTTGGTTTTGGGAGTGGGTATGTGCCATGGTCTTTTGGTCCACTGGTTCCGTTGGCTAGCCCCCCCAAGCCCGAAACCCTTTTCCCCTTTTTTAGAAGCCCTTCAGAATCCTCCCCCTTCAAGGGCTGATGCTCTTTTCCGCCCTAAACGCTCAACCCTTGAGCCCCAAGCCCGAAACCTTAAACCCTTCTAAAACGCTCAACCCTGGACCCTTCCCAGAATTCACTTTGCGCCTTGGGGCTTGGGGGCCCTTCTTCCGGCCTCCTTCGAGCCTCAGGACGTGGCCATCCCCGTAGGCCCGGATCGTCGCCGGATCGTGGCCGAGTGACTTTGGGCCACCGGGCCGCCTCGCGATAGGCCCCGGCGTTTTTTTCTTTCAGCGGAAAAGTTGGTTTAGAAAGCGACCTGGCGCTGCAAATTACCCCGAGACCCTGTTCTGTAGCAGAACCTTCTTGCTATGAATGATGCCCTGGAAAAGGGAAAAGGGGGCTTGGAAGTGGGGGGATCGGTATCAGACAGATGTGCAGCCCGAGTCCGATTCGTGGCTTCCTCGAGAGGAGAGGCACCGACAACTGGTGCCACAAGAGGGGTTCGGCAGAAGGATCATGTGCTGTGACAGGAAGCACCAAATGATTGTTTCCTCAAAGTTGGAGGTTTGCATGGGGTCAAAGACTACCCCCTACTGAAAATTCCGTTTTTTTCTCAGGGTACTTTTGGGAAAACCTGGCATTCCATGGTAAATACCTCCTTTTTAGTAGAGGGTCGACATGATACCCTGAAAAAAGAGGGTATTTGGAGTAGGGTAGGTGATTACATAGCCACTGATTTTCCAGTTATCCCAAAAAAGGAACTTGGTTGCTGACTCCCTACTTCGAGCTCAGAGCCCCTGAGTTGCCAATATGCGTTAATCATACTCAACAGGAAGCCCAAACTCAAATATTACATAGTTTTCTATATCTTAAAAAGGAAAGCCAGCAAGCAATCATACCAGTCCGGTTTTTTTTTGGTTTTCCCAGAGCCCGCCTTCTGGCGATTCGCGTGAGCCGGGGAATGACTCGCCGAATTTCCGCTTCGTTCCCGCTTCGCTTCGAAGGCCCCAAGGTGTCCACCTTCACGGCGGAGAGTTTAGAGAGGAACATCGAGAATGAGCTCAAGGAGAGCGCCGGGACCCCAAATCGCGAAATCGTGAACTTCTCGAATCGGGTTCTTGGGTCAGTGCCATGTAGTGCCCTTTTGCAATTTCCTGTTTTGGGGAGGGTTCCCCTAAAATAGACTACAGAAAAAAAGGGGCACCCTTATTCTAACCTCTCTACTGGAGGACCGGGCATAGGATTCACCGAGATAAGGCCTCATTCAAGCCTTATCAAGGACCAAGGGTGTTTGGTGCTCTACTTATCAGGTTCCCTCCAAAAATGGTGCTTTGGAGCCCGGTCTGGTGGTGATTAAGGAGGGGTTTCAATTTTGCGCCTCTCTACAAGGACCAGGGACCCGTTCAACAAGCCAAACCACCAATTCCATGGTAAATACGTTTTTTTTTTTTGTAGAGGGTTGACATCAGTCCCCCAAAAAAAGCACGGGTACTTGGAGGGGTAGAATGATCTTCCCACAAAGTATCAAGTGCAGTTGGGTTTCGGTAGGGGGTTGGTGGTAGCGAAACAAGGTCGACGGAACCCTCAAACTACCCGTAAAAGGCGGGCTATCGCCTCTATGGTCGGCGATTTCCCCCTTTTTTATGGGTAGTTTGAGTGTCCAGGTTGGGTGCTTTGGCGCTCACCTGGATCGGATTTGAGTCGAAGGTGTTGCTCTTCCGCCAAGAAACCAACAGCCAACTTAAAACCTCCGGCGGGGACTGAAAGTCGCTGAATGCGTTTCCGGTGACCGCTGCAAGTTGTTGACCTAGGCCATTTACAAATGAAGTCCGTGAATGTGGGACCAATCCTTTTTGCTTAACTGTAGATGTTGTGTTGTTGTTTTCTTTTTCTTTCCCTTTTTTGTTGGGGGGTGCGGGTGACAAGAAAACACGTATAATATGCGTTTTCTAAAAAAACAAGAAAAAACATGTGACACAACAAGTCATTGATTGCGTGGTCTCGCCTTCGCCATCCTTCCCCTTCGCCTTCCCCTTCGCCTCCTTTGGCTTCGGCTCGACGTCGCGGGGAGCCGAGATCCGGATGATCCGCATGCGGCTGGGCTTCGAGAGCGCCTACGAGGACTCCGAGGTGCGCGACGAGGCCCTGAGGGCGTACCTGCCCGGCCGCCGAAAAGAGGAGGGCAAGGAGCTGGGGTTTCGGGGGGGAAAGGGGGGGGCAGGGTTGGGCTGGTGGTGGTTTTATGGTTGTTTCTCGTCTTGCCGCTTGTGGGGCAAGTTTCGGATGGGGTTGGTTTGGGGTTCCTGTTTTGGGGTGGTGTGTTTTGTGGGCTTTGTTTGATTAGTATCAGGTATCCCCTACATGGTTTGGATTGGTTGGGGTAAAGGAGCCCCTGGCTCTTGAGAGGGAGAAGCCGCCTCGCCAAACCGCCACTTAGAGGTTGGGAAGAACACTGCGGTTGGCCAATCCGCTCAAAAAGTGGTTTTGGGAGCTGGCAAGACTTGAGACAGGAATTGGCCCAGCTAAGAGAGCTGGTTCCATTGCTTTGTTTGCCCAATTGGAAACATGTATAGCCCCCAAGTCAACGCTAGGGTGCCCTCAAGTCTGGCTCATTTGCATTGGTGATATAGAGCTCTGTTTGTCTTGAAAGAAACACCTTGAAAAAGAGGTCCTTCGCATACCCATTGTGCCGGCTCGGCCACATTGCATGGGGCCATTATGCATGTTTTCCCCAAGTTTCTCATGGAGTGCTTCCCCTTTCGCTATTCTGGCGTTTGCTCTTTTCCTGCATTGATCGTTTGGGTACGCTCCCTCCAACAATCATGGAAGTTGACAGGAGGGCTTTAGAAGACTATGTTCCTTTTAGGGAACCCCTTTGTGCACTTCCATGATTGTTGGAAAGAGGGTATATTGTTTGGGGGGCCGTTTTTCAGGCCCCTTAAAGCTCGCAGAATCGAGCACCCCAACCGCTTGGGTGCATTTGTCTTTCTTTGGTCGAAGGCCAATGCCTTCTGGCGCCCAGGCTGCACCTGGAGAAGGAATGCGTGCTGGATGTGGATTGGGCCTATGACGAGATGGCCCGGGCCTTGGACACCGTTTTTCCGCGGCTTCTCGCGTGTCCAACAGCGACTGTTTGGACAGAGGTGGGTTGCAACGAGAGGAACACCTCATCCAGACGTCTCACCACAATTCTCTCGAGAGAGGTCCAAAAAATGCATCCAGGTTCCAGTATGTCCAGGAGAGTAACTGCAACACCGCATCCAAACTGTCAAGGTTCAAAGTGCTGATTCATTTCTTTTTTCTCACGTATCCAAAGTGGACCGATCGAAAGGACCTTTTGGCGGTTCCCCTGTTTTTGGTTCCCAGATTTAGTCCAAAGGCGCCCAAAGGTGATCACCTTTGATTTCCGGTCCAAACTGGGCAAGTGAGGTTAAGGAAAGTGCACTGTCACATGAAAAAGGTACTCTGCCACCGACTGGAACCTGACGTTTTGGGGGGTCCCAGTTTGGACCGTGCCCCTATCAGCTCCCATATTGATTTGTCTGGGGGGATAATCGTTCTATATATGTCAAGATCCACTAGTGGACATAGAATCTGAGCATGTCCCCTATGCTTCCAGTTGCCACCATATCATAGTAGGGAACCAGGTGTTTGGTATCCTCTAGGCTTTACATGATGGCTTGCGCTTGGCAACTGGAAGGACTGGGTAAGTTTTATTGGTGGAATCTGGATATTAGTCCAAAATTCAGGGTCAAGCAACCCTGACTACCCCAGATGTAGGCCACGTAAGGGCTAAAACTGACTTCCATTTGTTTTAAATTTGTTTCCTCTGGTTTTAAAGGGAGTCGATTTCACTCCTGCTTTCTTTGTTCGTCTTTTCCTGGCACCGGAGAAAAAAGGAAAAACGAAAAACATGGAAGACGACGGGAGCTGGTTCTGACGCGCATTCCGTCGGCGCCTGCCCTGAGGACCAGGCCATCAAGCCCTGGGGCGCCCCGTCGCCCTTTAACGCCTCGGAGTACAAGACGCCGGGGGCCGCGGCTGGGGTGTGGGGGGGGCTTGGGGGGGTTGAGGAGTGGTGCATGGCGTGTGGTGTGGTGGGGGGTGTGGTGGTGTGTGGTGGGGTGTGTGGTTGTTGGGCCTTTGTGAAGTCATTGGGTCCTCAAGCCAGAAGCCAGAAGCCCATTGGATGAATCTTGTCAGTTGGGGGCCTGGTAGTGACAACCATGGTAATGGAAAGTGGTCCCAGCGGCGAAGTGTGTCTTGTCCAGTTGCCTCGAAACTCGGCCTCCTCTCCAAAAATATTGGACCCTTGTAGTAAATATTTTGCGGTGTTGTATCTCGATGAAAGGCACTATCCGGGGAACCAAAGAGATGGTGCGGACAGAGAGAGAGAGAGAGAGAGAGAGAGAGAGCGCGAGAGAGAGAGAGAGAAAGGGGGGGGTACATGCAATTTGGTTGCGACCTCACCTGGGTCTTCGGTCTTTGCGGCCAACTTTGAATGCATGTTAATTAACCAGCAGGGGTTTTGCAATCTTCTCCAACTTGAACAACGTGAAAGGAGCTGCCCCAAGAACTTCTCCAAAGAGACCTCCCTTCGCACTTTTCATGTGAAGTAGAGGCGAACTGTGGATGGACGGAATCTTTTTCGCACCAGATTGAACCTATGGTTGAAACCAGTGCTGGTTGGCATTTACAGGGGAAGCGAATCAGAAACCCGGGTTTCTGAACGGTCCATCCACACTAGTTCTCCCAGATGACATTTGCCTTCCAACCTTTGCCATCTCAGGTCTTGTCGTGGCCGCCTCAGCTTGATGGGGCAGGGGCTACGAGCCTCGACTCTTTTCCTTGTCTTCCCAAAATTCGGGGGCGAAGATCTGTTTTGTTGTGGCTTAGGCAACGGCCCCCGATTAAAACAACAAACAAACTACTTCAGTGCCCATTTCGACCCGTACGGGTCGCTGGTTGCACATTGCCTTGAACCCCTACCATGTTGCAAGTGCACCATCTGAGTACAAAACCATGGTAACACTGTAAGTAGGAGAGAGTCCTTGCCCCCTTACTTGCAATACTGTGGAAGGACGAAATCCGTTTCGCACCACCTAAGAAACCCTGGTGTCTGATACCCCAAAAACGAGGTTTTGGGGTCTCAAAACCTGGCTGTTTGAGGGCCCATTAAATAATGGGGTAAATACCAAGAAACGTTATAATTGGGGGTAAATTGCCCACGAAATTGGCGGGAAATTTGAGGTAAATTGGTGGTAAAGAGTTACTGCTACAGGCAAGGCTTAATTCAACCATGGTTTCCTTTCGTGCGAGACTCGAGGCTCCGCGACTCGCGGAGTGATCATCCACACGCCTCGAAGCCTTGGCCTCTGGCTGAGGCGAGGCATGGTCCAAGCACTGGAAGGAGAAGAAGCAGCTGCGGGAAGCTCGCAGGGCACCCAGAGGTCGTTTTTTCTTTCTTTTCGGGAAAAAGGGGGGGTGCCATGAACACCTATATTGCCCTCAAAATTACTTCCCTAAATGAAGGTGGTGGCACAATAGCTAGGTGTCCACGATAACCGGGGGGGGGGTCGGGGGTCGGGGAATTTTGGTGGCATGCAACCCTCTTTGGAATTCTTGGTGTTTGGTCGGGTATACCGGTTCAGAACGCTGTTGAAGTTTTTCTCTGTATGGCGATTGGGTTGGATAAGTCAGTACCATCTGGATGAATTATAACGACCTCACACGACCGAATTCACCCCACATGGTGGTTTATGTGGGGAATTGAATAGCCCCCCAACCACCTTATTTCAGGTTGGTGAAATGTTATAATTCACTCAGATACCATCCTTTTTAGTCAGGGGTTGACGTAAAAACGGGCTGGGGCACTTGGGGCTTTGTGGCGAGTCGGCAACGGATCTTTGGACTTGGACTTTTTGTGAATGAAGCGCTCCAATGCCAGTCCAAAGACCAAAGGCTCATGAATGACCCCTCAGACCAGCGGATCTTTTGTCTTCATTGGTCATTGAATGAAGCTTGGTTCTTCGTTGTGTTTTTCTCATTTTTTTGTGCGGAGAGGTTCACAGCAACGTACGTTTGAGGTGGGTTCCGGAAAGGCAATGCAAGCGAAGTCACTTTTGGGTCCCCTCAAAGGTAAGCCCAGCAACTCTCGGAGTGAGTCATATTTGCACATTTGTTTGAGCTTATGTTTGAACAAAACAAGCATACATGTATACGGCGCTCACATCCCCGACTTTCTGAGTTGACCAGTGAAAGCTTCAAACAAATTCCAAGTTGCAAAGCAGGCATAAGATGCCTTTTACGACCCTGTTGGTCTCATGGTTGCAGAATCTCCTGGGATCAGGGAACTTGCTTGATTTTTATTCCCAGAGGTGGCGAGCTCACTTTTTTTTTCTTGGGCTCGAGGTCGGTACCTCGCGGTGAAGGAGAATCATGCACCGCACTCGGCAAAATGTCTCACTGCACAGGGTCCTGAAATTTGAGCCACTTTTTGGGTTTGGTGCCAATCTTATTGGTAAACAAAAGGTTTGGTGCCACTTTTGGTTGGCCAATCCACTTCCTCTCAGAAGTGAAGTGTAAATACCTTGGGCGGATAGTGGGGAGGGAGCAAGGCCTTTGCCCAGCTGACCCTCAAGCTACGCCTGTTGATTTCCATTTTCGCGGTGAGCATCCAGGTAGTTTAGTTTTTTGCCGTGCCCGAGTTTTTCCTTACCCACCCGGGTTTCAACACGGAAAATGAGAGCCAGGTGCTCTCTGGGGTGCCGCTTCACTTCTCCAGCACGGACCTGAAGGAGTTGGTCGTACGGGAACCGACCTGTTCATATGAGCCACTTGCTCAAAACCCGGGTAGATGATTGCTAGGGGACAATCCCAACCATAAGCTGCGGGCGCCTTCTGATTTCTTTGCATGGCTTTGGGTAGACTATTTTAATACCAGGCTTTGATTATAACAGATGTGGGGGTGGATCAATATTCCTGGCCCCCACAATGGCCATAACTAACTGTTCCAGTTAGTGGGGGCATATCATCGTTTTCGCGGTTTTCCCCAATGGATCGGATGGACCAAATCCATATCCATGGCAAGCCAATGTTCTTTCCAGAGTTTCTTAGGTGTAGGATTTCGTCCATCAGCATGGATGCTACCAATATCAGCTGGTCAACTCAGCATATACCCCTTATAAGTGGTACAGATAACCTCCATAGCTCCAAAACCCATACCTGTCGCAGAAATTTGTTGGAAACAACTGGCTCTGGCATTAAGCCTATACCTGAACCCTCAAACTACCCAAGAAAATGGGATATCACCCCATAATTTTGGGTCAAACCCATTTTTAAGGGAATTTTGAGGGTTCAGGTAGCTCCAGCGACCTTTTCAAGGCCGCTGAGGAACCCGGTTCTTGGGGCCCTTCTTGGGGCCACATGGCCATGGGAAACGCAGAACCAATTCGGCGAGCCCATTTGTGGGTGGATGGACATTTTTTTGCCAGCGATTTTGATGTTCACCAGGGGTGTCCTGGGTTTTGACCAGCCACATGTTTAGTTGTAACATGTGTTTGTTTTAATGCTACAGCAACAACTCAAACAGAAGCCATGGCTTTAGCATCTTTCTTCTTTTTTTTTGGTGGGGGCAACTGAGACAACTCTACGGACAGTTTCTCATCAGGTTGTTACCCAATATCTGGCTAGTCGAGTCATGCAGGCAAAGACGAGGCCTTCTCCAAGCGATCCCAAATTGTGCGACTTGTTTGTGGCTACACTTTCCGGAGTTTCTAAAGGGAAAACCAAGGGGATGTCACGCAGCATTCTGACTGCCCCGTGGACTTTCCTACTTCGAGACTTGGCTTGGTCTTCCAATGAGGGGAAATCTCTGACTTCAAACTCGTTTGAAAGAGGTGGCCCAACAAACAAGCACCCACAAACCAGTGCAAGTGGGGACTGGCTACTCACTCCCTGAGTTGGGGTTCATAATTACTTTTGTTTGGAATTGGGAAGCCCAACTTAGAGGTCCTGAGCAATCCAGTCAAGAAGTGAGGAACTGCAGTGCTTCCAACCTGTGGGTTTTAAAACCCATCCGAGCCTCACATTTGACACGGCCTCACCAGCTTCCAAGGCCTTGCAGCACATAGCGGCGTGTCTTTGCATGATACTCGTTGGGTTTTGTCAGGTTTCCAACCACATGTGAGCCACAATCAAAACCCGAGTAGATGAAGGTTAACAAAAAAAAACATAACTAGCTGCGGCCGCCTTCTTGATTCGTTACATGGTTCTGGGTAGACCATTTTGATACCGGGTTTTGATTTCATGTGAGCCATGTCAGCCTGTGAAGACACGCCCGACTAGAAACCTGGGCTGGTCTGCAGGAAAAGTGCCCAAGAGGCTTTCCGGCGACTTGCCCAAGAGGCTGATCTCATGTTTCGCAGATCTTTTCAGAGAGAAATTCAGAGTCCCCTTACCAGCATTCCCCAACTCCCCCGTCCAAAAGACAGTGGTTGGGACCCGTTTGCTGGATGTGTCCCATTTTTGTTTGAGGTCTTCTTTCAATTTGCGTTTCTCAGGCGGACCTGGGAGGTGGTAGCTTTGCTGGACACCACAGTAAACTGCAGCTTTTGAAAGGGACATCCAGTGACCCGTGTGGCGTTAGAGTTTTCGTTTTGGGCCACCTTTATGCTGTAGCTCCCACTCCCCTTGCCCACTTGCAACCAAAGCGACTCGACCTGAAATGACCTTTTAGTTTCACCTTCCTGGACCCCCAAAGGACCGATTTCTTTGTTCTGCCTTTGACAAAAAAAAGGGATACAAAGGCAGAAAAAAGGGATCAGTCCTTTGGGGGTCCAGGTTTGTTGGCTTATCTTTCGTCATGTCCAAGGTCAACTTATGCGTGAGTCCTTCGCTTGCCCGAGGGGGGGTTGCACAAAGGGAAAGTCGGAACCGTTGAAATTTGTTGGTTTTTTGGGGGGTATACGTGGCAAATTTCCCATAGCTTTGGGGTGATATCCAATTTTTAAGGGAATTTTGAGGGTTCAGGTAGCTGGTATCTATGACTTGCTTCTTCTGGGGGGAGTTGTTGGGCTTGGTCGAACACCAGGAGATCCGAAAGTGCATCATGGGCTGCAAGCCGATTCAGGAGTGAAGCGGCCGACGGTTGAAGTCCGTTTGGAAGCCAGTACCAACATACCCGGCAAAACAGATTGTTGCCCCCACGGCCAATGGACCTTTGAGTTGCAGGTGCTACATATGTACTGTTGCGGGCAGAGGTAGTTAAGGAGGAAGCCATGATGACCCATACAGCCTTGCTGTAGGACTTTTGGGAGCGAGTGCTGCTTACTAGCCCCCCAGCGTCTCCGCAAGGTTCCCTCGACAAGCTTCCTCCACACATGGCTTTGATCTTCATCTTGATCTGCAGCGGGGCCGCTAGCTACTTGCCAACTACCCTGCATCCTGCATGCTTAAGTACTACCCAGACCTGTTTGCCCTATTTAGACTAGAAGCTGGACAAACTGTTTGCATTTGCCTTCAGGTGAGGAATGGACGTCCATCAGAATTTGCAACCTCTGAACAATGGGTTGCCCCAAATTGATGGTTGGTGATTTCCCTCTTTGGGTACCTTGAGTCGCCCAGGAAGACCTTGGCACTCTAACGGCTTTCCGGCTTTCCCGTGGTAACGTGGTAAGGACTTCCCGAAGGTCTGGGTTCCCCAATCCGGGCCGACAAGCGCCCACATGTTCCACGCCCGAGGGTAGCCATACTCCCCCCCTTAGTATCTCCACTGTTTCTATCAAAGTGGCATTTTCCCGTGGAAGCACTTTTTCATACAGGACACGGGTACCTCAAACCACCTACAGAGAACTCACCCCATAGTCTTGGGGCACCAAGCCACTTTAACGGGGTAGCCACCTCACCCTGCCGCCCGCTTGCGCCAAAGCAAATTCGCGAGGAGTACTTCAGATACCCCTCGGACGACATCTTCTTCTTCGCGGTAGCCAAGGCTGCCACTGACAGGTCTCTCCTCCAAAATGGTAAATATATCGGGGTAGTCAAAATGTGGATGATTTATGAGGTACCCTGGATTTGGGCCAAGGGGAATCACAGTAGGACAGCAGGGGCTTACTGGGTGATTTTTGGCCCTGGCTGTGCAGCCGATGATAGCGAAATCAAGCAGGGCCGGGCGCAACATGTGCAACCCCGGATTCGCTCCCCTTGAAGGGGGAAGCCGACGAAAGGTTGTTTATCAAACGGGGTGGTCGACGCATGCAGGTGATGAGAGAGAAGTGGTTCGGGGAGTATGTAGAAGCTGGACAGGTCATGCCGCTTCCGCAGAGCCCGTGGGCTCAGTCATCTTTTGAGCTGGCCGGCCGGATGGCTCTGGAAGAATCAAGGGGTACAACTCCCATGGATAGAACCTACCCGCTTCTCCAAATTCCCTGTGATTTAAAGGGTGTCCTTTGAAAACCGATCGGTTTCCAGTGTACCCCCCCTTTTTGCAGTAAAGGGTTGACATGATCTGGGGTGCATTTAGGAAAGTCGTTTAATCACTGCTCATCGTGTTCATTGGGTGTTTCTTTAATGCAGCTGCTGTCTGAAGTTTGGCAGCAAGTCTGGTCCTGTCTGCATGTGATGGTAATCATCAAGCCAATGCGCGTTCATCTGCGCCCTTGCTCTAAAGAAATCTGAGTCGACAACTGTTGCTCTTGTAGCTCATGCCGCTGTTCTGTCAGCACAGCCAACCGGATAAACATGGCATTGTAAGGAAACTGCGGAAACCTTTCATTTTGGGTGTATACTGCTCAGGCAGCCCTGCCGCGCTATGTGTAGACTCTGTGTCGCATGCCAGTGGGCTGAAGCAGAGGTGTCCCTCTCCAATTGTTGAGTTTTTGAACCACTATGCCCAGTCTGAATCTAGAAGTGAAGCCAAACATTTGGCCCTGCACTCCTTAGACCATGACCTGACAGCAAGGCCCATCGAAGACTTTCCTGATTATTTGTCGCTGATTTTTCCGACGGCTTAAAACACACACTCAAGAAAGCAGACTGTTTTAATCATCACGTAACACGTACCATCTTGGCCTCAACGCATGGTGCATTTAAGATAATCACTGTTTTAAGGGCAGGCCCCCCAAAACCTGCCCTTAAAACAGTCGGTAGCGCTACCGACTGCTGTAAGCAACCCCCTGAGATCAACGGGGCGACTTGTTTGATTGTTTTAAGCAGTTTTGGTGGCAGTCCAAAGTGCATTTAACATAATCAGGGGGTTGCTTACAGCAGTCGGTAGCGCTACCGACTGTTTTAAGGGCAGGCCCCTGGGGGGCCTGCCCTTAAAACAGTGATTAGCTTAAATGCACCCTCCGAAAAAAGCCGGAATTAGTACTAATTTCAATTTCAGGTCATTGTGAGTTTTGATGGCTTCCCCTAGCCAATACTTTCAATGAGACAAACAATGTCCAAACAAACATAAGCGCCAGGGATGTTCATTTTGAAACGACCATGGGATTCTTCCAACTTGCATGTTGCACACTGGTGGCAGGAGAGCTAGCTTTGTGAAGCATGTCTGCATCACGGCAAGCCTACGTTGGTCCAACTTTACCATCTTGAGTTTGCGGTAGCTCGCGGTAGCGCAGGCAAATTGGAGTTTGACTGCGTGCATGTCTGTGCACAACGTTGTGTCATTGTTGGTCCAGCGCAGCCAAATGCAGCCAACTTGGAAGGTTAAGACACAACAAGTAGAACAGGGGATCCAGCCAAGACGATCAAGAAGCGCAATGAAGCCTGCACGTTGAGCATCTGAAAAGTGCAATTCGATGATCCTTTCCGAGCTTAAAGCTGTCATGATTATGAGCTCAATACGATCCAGCAAACACCACCGTGTGAATATTTGACATCTTTAAACGCACCTCAGTGATGCCCTGAAAAAAGCTGGTATTTGGAGTAGGGGGTAGTTGACAAGTTACCCTTCCACAGGTTGGCCAGTGCAGGGGGGGTTAGCAAATTCGCCTGTATTTACCATTAAAACCAAGGGGTTCAAAACAACACAACGCAAACAAAGCAGGGTATTTGGAGCAGGGTTCCAGATGCTCTGGTGTCGCTGGGTTCATTTTGGGTCTGTCAGACTGGTGTCGATGCAGAGATTTGATGCCGGAAAAGGGACCTTGCTTCGCAAGAGTTTAACCTTACCCTGAAACTACCGATAAAATAAACATACCAATTGCTAGAGTTCACCAAAGTTATGGTGGGAGATGTGCCTTTTCTAGAGGCACTTCAAGGGTCCAGGCCCCCTCAATTGAGAAGAAGCTTTGAATGCCTCCTCCCCCGACTCCGCCCGCGGGTGCCGATCCTTGGTCCGATCCTTGGCCCTGCCCAGGTGTTTGCTCCGTGTGGGTCTTCATGGGCGCAGAGGCCATCGAAAAACGGTCAACGAACGAACGAAAAGACCTCGCTCGTTACGAACGACCGACAGAAAGACCTCCGAAGCTCCACTGTTGCCCCTAGGTGTTTTTTTTCTTCATGGCCTCTTTGATTTGTTGCTTTGTTTGTTTTTTGATTTGTTGTGGGGGGGGGATCTTCTCTTTTGTGGAACATCGCTGGTCTTGGCAATGTGTTTATGTTTTCTCCGGTCTTGTTTTTGTTCTTTTTTGGTGGGCGGCACAGAAGGCAGTTTCTGGCTGACGTACTTGAGTTACTCAAGGGAAACGACCAGTTTTTCAGATGACCACGCCCAAGCGAAAACAACATTGGCAGTTCTGTTTGTTTTTGGGCTGGGTAACCCGGTAAACCAAGGCCATCACAATGACATGTCTCTCACCAAATGCCGTGAGCGACACTGTTTCACCCAGGAAGAACATGGATTGGGGTCGGGGTCACTCTTCGGGGGGGCTTCGATCTCGCTTGCGAATGTGTGGAGTGGGTGGTTCTACTACCTGGCTTGATTGGGGTTATTGGTAGAACCACGAGCCAGGTTTTGGTTGCTATGGATTGGCTCACTTCCTGGCCCTCCGATCCAGCATGCAACTTGAGGACGCTGTGGGGGGTACCCTCCCTTCCACTAACATGGCACCTGGCAGAGGGTTTCTTTGAGAAGGAAATTAGGCTTCCAGATACCCTCCCACAGGTGCTATGTTTGTTGGAGGAAGGGTATAGCCCCCTTTCAAAGTCGACCAAAGAAGGGTGCCCATTTTTCCCGCCCAGACGCTTCTGGAAGACCCAGACCCTCCATTGGACCCCAGGAGGGATTTTGGGGTCTCGAAACCTGGTTGTTTGAGGGCCCAAAATAAATAGGGAGTGTCTGGGCAAACAAATGGTCTGGGCCCGAAGCAAACCGTTGAGCAATTCACTGCCCGCTCATAAGATGAAACTTGCAGAAGTGATGCCCTGGACCAATTTGTATTTCAAACAAACCTCGGGGGTTGCATGTTGCAAAGGTTTTTCAAAGCGCACCCTGAAAATGACACTCAAGGCGCCCCATTTCGTTTATTGCGGGGATCCAGCAGGAACCCCGAACTCGTTGCATTTTTTGGGGGGTTTCTCCTATGTCAATGTCCAGTGTTGGATTTGCAGCGCTTTGGGAGGACATACTCCGTTTCCCGCTTGACCCAAGGTTTCCCCTTTTTGGCCAACTTCTAAAAGGCTCCACTTTTTGCAAAGGTCCCACACGGTGATCACCTTGTGTTTCTCCTGGTCCAAGCTTCCAACTGGGCGCCCCGCGAGCCCCACTTTGTCGCGTTTGCGACCGGGTCCGCAGGTGAAGATGTCGCGTCAACGAATTCTAGCTCTGAGCAAGGCCGCGTGGGCTGGAGCCGTTCGCGGGCTTTGGCTTTCCCATGTTTGTTGCTGCTTGTCGGTGGTTGAGTCTGATATTGTTCTTTTGTTTTGTCAACGCAGGCTGTACCAAGGATGATTTTGCTTTTGGTTGCTGGTTGTGTCTTTTGTTTTTGTCCCTTAAGGAAGGTATGGTCGAATCCCGGTGTCCGATTCGATTCGACTCGCCCAGGTCCAGAAGTCCGGAGACTCAGTCGAGGGTTCGGCCGCAAATGGGGCCCTCAAACTACCCCCGAAAGATGTCGACCCTCTACTAAAAAGGAGGTATTTACCATGGAAAACCGATCGGTAAAAGGCGGGTAGTTTAAGTAGGGGGTACCCATGAAACAGGGAGTTTATCCAACAAATCGACCATTCTGCACTGGATCAAGCACTGATCTCAGCCAGGTGTCGCTCCAACTGGCGAGTCTCTTTTGGAGGGTATTCCATTTGCTGAAATGAATGTTTTGCTTTTCCCCCTTGTTGGTTTTAAAGGAATTTATCACTACTGGATTTTTTTAGTTTTTTTTTGCAGGGGTCTTATCCAAATGGAAGTAAGCTAAGGAGTTTATCCAATAAATTTGAGGGCAATAGCGCTAAGGGAATGGGGTCCTTCCCCTGGTAGGGATAGATTTGTAGCCCTTTGAGAGTCTTATCTCCAGGGTTCATGTTGGTTTCCCTCCACCCGGTCACCTGCTAGCCATGCAAATGGATGCTTGCCCCACATTTATGAGTGATTTCTTTTTTTCTGGGTAGTCTGAGGGTCCAGGTTGGTTCTTGTAACTTCCCCAGGGAGCCTTCTTTAATAACCCACGGGAGGCAGGTTCCAGGGATCCTTCTTGATTCCGCGAAAACTAGGGGGGATCGCCTGGTGTTTGAAGAAGAACGATGGCCGAAAAGAATGGGGAATCAAATTCTAGATTGTTAGGTGGGTAGGTTGGGGTGGTTGGTTTGGTTTCGCCTCCAACGTCTGTGACAGTAAACATCACCTTTTCCCGCTTAAGAATTGAATTAGGTGTTCGCGGGGCAAGGTAGAAATTGGAATTGGCGAAACACCCCACCCCCCCACCCCCCAATTTTGGGGGTGCTATACTCAGACTTAGCTGATTTTGAAACTGGTTGCCTTCCTCTTAAAGTAAATGGAAGAGCCTGCCCATTGAGGCTTTTTCATCCTCAAGAACCTACATGCATTTACGCTTACTCTCATTACTTGGGGCTAGTGGGCTTGGTCAAGAAAACATACGTGGCAGGTTGGTAGGTTTGGTTGGTAGGTCTAGTTGCTTTTAGTCGTGTTTACATCAAGTAAAGAAAGACCAGCGCACCTGAAATGATCTTTTGGGTGGTGATGTCTGGAGTTCGTCGGACAGACGAATCCTGCTGAGTTTGCTTTCATGGGGTCCATCGGTTGCCTCCTTCTATTTCTGGGAGAGTGATTCAAAGAGTGTCGCGAAACATGAGGTGCCAGGGAAGAGGAAAGTACTGGACCCGAAGAAAATGTTCTCAAGGGAAGTCACCACCAAAATCATTTTATGGGGGTTTGGCTCCAAGTTAAACCACCAGGAATCGGACCGCAGGTTTGTAGCAGGGCGCAATTCCTCGAATTCTGGTACCTATTTTTTGACCCATACCCTAGGGCACTACACATCCTCCAAAACAACCGGGGGGGGGGGAGTTTGGGCTGAAGGGAGCGCGAGCCATCGGCTCTCAGGGAGCGTGAGCTAGCGGCATGGGAGGAGGCCAACGGAATCGTGGAGGAGGACGGAATCCTTTGGTTCCCAAATGACCCCAGACCGAACCATCCATCTGGTGGTTTCCTTTAAAAAGCAAGGATAACTACCCAACCTTCAAAGTCAGAGAAGTGAACCATTCATGCCTGGACCCTCAAACTACCCTTAAGTATTGGTTACTGCCCTCACCCCTACTTGTTCTTGCGTAGTTTGAGGGTCCAAAGTGATGGTTTGCTGTAAAAGTAAGAAGAACCCGCCTGCCGGTCTATTCCCAAGACCCCGAAGTCGATTCCCTACCTGTCGAACGAGTGTTTGAACAAAAATCAAAGCACCGTCCCATGCTGGATTTGCCGTGACGGTCCCTTGCATCTTCAGAGGCTTCCATTTGCTGAAATGGGTATGGGTCAAAATGAAACCAGGAAACCTCAGGTTTTTGTCCTTGGTTCCATCTACCTGGGTTCCATTTTGGGAGCCGAATTCTGACTCACTGCCAAATGAAGGTTCTTTGTATCTTCCCTTGTTGATGTTAAAAGGAACCTCTCACCACTGGAAATATGTTCTCATTTTTCCAGAGGACTTGAGCAAATGGAGGCTTCAGATGCAGTTTCTTGGAACTTTGGGCCCCAGGCAAAAATCCCCACTTTGTTTTTGTTGTTTTATTTTGTCTCGGGATTTGTCATTTGTGTTTTGGTGGTAAGTGTCGTAAATCGGGCCCCATCCCTCGATTGTGGTGAGGTCCGCAGAAAGGCTCAGTTTTTGCACGCCTTGGCTTTCAATCCATTTTCTGGAAGCAGCACCCAGCCGTCCTGGCTACCCGCTTAGAAAGAAGCGAGCAGAGGCAGTTTAGACAAGAGCGGGTCAAGCGTTTTGAAGCAGCTCGGTCTGCAGGAGGATGACGAGGACGACTTGGAGGACCCATCTGATGTCAACGGATCCGGACCCAGTCAGAACAGGTATTTGATTATGAGAATGCTTGAGACGTAATTTCCGGACCCAGTCAGAAAAAGTATTTGATTCTCATGAGAATGCTTGAGACGTAATTTCCCAGTTTAGAGTTGAGGATGGATATGTTAGGTTTTTTTTTGAGACCCCCGAGGTCTCACTCCCTGAGTTTACGGACTTGAAGCTTTCCGGTAAGACCATTCAAGTGGCAAACACAGTTTTTGGTTACTTTGTTTGGGCCAGCCGGCTCGATCAGAAGTGAGATTTAGTTCTCTGATCGATTGATGCAAGGTCATGGCGTTGACTGGAGCCAGGCTTTGGCATGACTTCGCATGGGACTTCGCTATGAAGGCCTTGATGCCTCATTGGACAAGTGAGAAATGAAACTGCATGCCCTTTTCAGACTGCCAATCGATTGGCCACTTCTTTTCTAGGGCCCCAAAAAGGCTTCCGGATTGTATGGATTTTGTGAGCGAGGAGGTGGTTTGGCAATCAACCTGAACAACAAATATCGTTACCATGATTATAAGTTCCTTCCATGAATTGAAATCGGGGTTACCTGCGTGATGTTGACCCTGGATTCACCATCCCCTTCAATAATTAGGGGGTTCCCTCCAAGAGTGGTTTGAATCCAACCACTAAAAGGGGAAAAGCACCCCCTCTTATCAAACTCAACCAGGGGTTCTAAAAGCTTCAATTCTGGGTGAAATGTGGTTGGAATCCGACAACTGGGTGTGAAATGCTCAAAATGAAGCGATCGGGGCAAACCGCAGGTGTTGGTACCCAAACTTGCACCAGGGCAAGCCATTTTGGAATTCCGTTTTTTTTAAGCCACAGCCAACTCTTGGAGGGGCCCAAAACCACCCCCTAGTAATACACCGGTTGGTTGATGAATGTGGGGTTCCCATGCTGCTGGCTGCTTGGGAGGGCTCCAAAAATGCGTTGCCTGTCACATTCGCGCAGAACTTCAAGCCGGACGAGGCGCCGGCGGATGCCAAGCCTGCAGAGGCGCCGCCGCCGCCGGAGGCAGGAGTCATCCAAGTTATGTCTTCCAATGTGCTTAAATGAATATTGGTTAGTTTTCCCCTCTTGGTTTTAAGTCAATTTCACTACATGCAAAATATATTCATTTTTCCAGTGGCCTAAACAAATGGAGGTTGTTGCCCGCGTGCCCCTCAGACACTCAGTTGTGTCCCTCTTTCCTTTGTGGTGCTTCTTGTTTGTGTTTTGCTCTGTGCGGGAGAGGAGGTTGATATACATCCATACTGTGGATGGACGGAATCTTTTTCGCACCAGATTGAACCCATGGTTGAAACCAGTGCTTGTTGGCATTTACAGGGGAATCATCAGAAACCAGGGTTTCTGAACGGTGGTGCGAGATTTCGTCCATCCACAGTATGGGTGTTTGCACTCAAGTAGCGGGAGTCGGGAGCCCGGTGCTTCACTTGCCTCTTGCAACTTATGGCGGGGGGTGCCCAATGGGCGATGAGGAGGTGAGGGCCGTTGGAAAAGTCACAGATGTTTGCCACATAGTGTGGATGGGCGAAAACCATGTTGCACCAGGGGGGAAACCAATGGAAACCAATATTCATTGGTATTTACAGGGGAATCTCCAGGGTTTCTTCAGTGCTGCAGGAGTTCGTTCATGCACATGATGTTCATTGTGAAGCCAGGCACAGAGGTTCCAGACTGTGCCAACACATTATAAATACAAGCAAACGCCTAAAACCGGTGGCCCCCTAAAAGTGTTTCCGAATTCCTCTTTTGCAGGCATCCCAAAATATGCCAAACTTGTTCCCAAAAACCGCGGTAACCACACCGCCCCGGCAAGTAACCCAGTTGCCATGTGTACGAGTCCCTCAATCAGGTTGTAATAGAGCTTATATGGATGTTCGGCCGACTCAGTACGTGGTTTGTCACTGGGTTAATCCTCGCATATATATATATATAGATATATATATATATATGTATATTTATATATATATATATACAACCTTCATACCTCCAAGCCCCTTCTTCCTGGAAACAACCCTTCAACAAGATATACCAGACTCTGTAAATGACTAGTAGTTCAATTACTCCAGGAGTCTAGCTCCACCACCCCCGCTCCCTGGTTAAACCCCCCCAAGCAGGGACGTCGCCGGCGAGGTGAAGGACGATGGCCAAGACCTCTACGCCAACTCCGCCTCTGACCGCCAGCTTGAGAAGCTCCAGCAGGCGCTGAAAAATCCGCCCAAGTGGTCCCCCGGCCAGAGGTGCCCTTTCTCACCCACTTTTTGGGGGGCGGGTTCCCCTACTAAGATAGACCTAATTCTAAGTTCCGCCTTTCTACAGAAATAAGGGACCTATATACTATAATAGACCTCTAGGTCCCTCTAGGTTCCCCCCCTCCCCCCTCTACAGAAGAAATGGGTACCCTTATTCTAGCCTCTCTACTGGAGGACCTAGAGCCCAAGTGGCAGGGTCTGGCTCTGGGGGTCGTCTTACCCCCCAGCTGAGAAGGGGTGGCTTGGGGCAGCTTTCAAGTCAAAGGCTTCCTTGGCGGTTGGCGATACCAAGGCTTATTTTGCTTATGCTGTCGTGCGTGTGTGTGTTTTTTGTTCTTATTTTGCGGGGGGGCAAAGGGGAAGCAAAAGGACAACAGACCCACTGCTGGAGTCCCCCGCAAAGGTCGGCTTTGTCCTTTCGACCTCTTGCCAGACTCAGCTGAATCGGTTTGCCCTTCCAGGCCCTTGCCACCAAAAAGTTGAGCTTGTTGCCGGGTATGCTAAAGTCTGGCCAAGTCGAGTAGGGCCCTTGGCTCCCTCACTCCCTGAGTTCATGGACTTTAAACTTTTTGGGAAGACCATTTTAGTGGTAAACACAAAGTTTGGACTTTTTTTAGTTTGGACTTTTTTGGGGCCATCCACTCAGGAAGCGAGTTCCTGGTGTTCATTCGCCGGGTTTCCTTTCTGAACACCAGGGCAACAGATCATTGACAGCTGGTCGAGCCTGCCGTGTGAGTGCAGAGGTCAGCTGCTTGAAGCCTGTCATGTATCTCTGTCTCAGCTTCCCCTTATTTGGTGGTTTGGATTGGATGTTCGGAGGGGGCTGGTTTCTCATTCACACTCTCCGACAACCAGGGGTTCAAAACCAAATCCAAACCACCAAGGACGGGTTCCCTTGTGGCCAGGGAGAGGACGCTGATGCTGACAAGAAGAAGGACAAGAAGAAAAAGAAGAAGCCCAAGGAATCCGAGTGATCGGCGACCAAGCCGGCTGCCCAACCATGCGAGCGGACGGCATTGACGGTGTTCAGTCGAATGGGCTAGTTGGAACACGGCACCACATGTCAGCTTCCCTCACTTCCACAAAGCCGACCTTTTGACCTTGCGGTGTTTGCATGTTGGTCCATTTTTCGTAAAGGTTATAACCTCCAAACTGGGCAACTGAGTTCTATGATTGTTGAGACCCTCAAACTACCCACGCAAAAAGTGAGATTGCAACATTAATTTGGGGCAATCACCGATTTCGATGGGTACCCCCTACTCAAAGGACCCGTTTTGTTCAGGGTATTTTTCGGAAAACCTGGCTTTCCATGATAAACACCTCCTTTTTTTTGTAGAGGGTCGACTTGATACCAACTGAAAAACGGTGCGGGTATTTGGAGATTACGGGGGTAGTTTGAGGGGTCCAGCAGGGTAGTTCCGGCTCGCCCCACGTCCACGGCCGCTCGCATGGCTCCGAGTTAACGCCGCGAAGGGGTCCACGTCTCACGACGGAGACCCGCCCTTCAGCCGAACAAAAGCCGCGAACCTTTTCCGCCCGGCCAGCGCAGGAGGTTGCTTTCCGTTTTGATTGCTCAATATGTCATTTACCTTTATGTGCGTAGGAACATTTGTTTACACACACATATATCTAAAAATAAAAAAAATACACCTATGCATACAACAAGTATACATATATACGTATTCATACTTGATGTATGTTTTTCCGCAAATGGATTTGGAGTCTGTACCCTTTTGTCTGGTCGTGTTTGTCGTTCAGTTTGGGTTTCCAAAATTGGATCTGCCCGGGTCATTTGCTTGGGCTCATCGGCCACGCGGTTCCCATTGCCGTGAATGGGCCCCTAAGGGGGGGGCTATGGGCATCCCTTGTTAGCCCCTTAATAAGGGCTGACCCTTTGCTTATCCTTGGGCTTGTCCGGCTTTTACACCCTAGGGGTCCGTGAACCACTCATGCATGGCTGTTGGGCACCCTGAAGCAAATGGAAGTTTAGAACGCTGGATGCTGAACAACTCATTGCCGAATGTCCATCTCATCCTGAAGAAAGTGCGGGGTTGCTCCCCCTCGTTATCCGCAAAAGCGGAGAAAAAAATTGGAGTGGAAGATCGGTAGCCGGCTTTACCTTGTGGGTCAATCTTCGGTCAGTTTGAGGGGGTCTCAACAGAGGGCCCTGAGCGAAATGGTTAATCATGTGTCATCCTGTTTTTCTTTAAAAACTAGACAGCAGAGGGTACATCATTTTGGGTACTTGGATGTTCGGCCAAGTTAGTTAGTGAATAGCCACCTGGGTTACAACCGACTAATAATATTGTCAAATCCACTGAATGAGGGGCCTAAGAGCGGGTTGTAGCCTGGGTTACTGTTACAACTTACTTTCTTGGCGAATCGAAGAGCCAGGTAGCAACTCCGCAACCTGTTGTGTGTCTAGGCAGTGCCCTGCATGGTAGGAGAACAATCATCGCCAGCAGGAGGGCGATTCCAGTTCGGGTTTTGATGGGCCAGACCCCCGTAGTTCAAATCTCCGGCATGAAACCCGCTTACTGTTAGTGTATGACCTGGTTTTCCATGGTCCAGGCAAGACATCCTTTTTGAGAAGGGCTGACATACCAATTCAAAGAAGGATGGTACTTGGAGCCCCTTTTCGGGGGGACGGACCTCTTGCATGGGAGTGAACTGTTGCCATCCACAGCTTGCTTGGCCGCGCGCAACGGCTCGCACACGGCTAGAAATTGACACGAGGCCTGCTGATGAGCTGCATTTCGCAAGCAGAGTGGAATTGATATCTTGCTGGTGAGGTAGGGAATGAGGGAATGAATCCAGACTTTGGTCCCCTAGGAAACCACAAGGGATGTTTTTTTTGGGTCATTCCATTTCTCATTCCCTGCCTATCGCACCAGCAAGTGGCACAGTAAATTGTTCGCCTCCTTTGGTCTAGGCAGCTTGCTTCTTAGAGTCTATGCGCGAACTGAGCGACGATCAATCGCGCAATATCAGTATTGCTTTTTCACTCGAGTGAGTGCATTTGAAAGCACCCAGTGGTATCCAGTGTCTGTTCCTTGCTTCTTTTTGGGGGCGAGACCAAAGTCAGTCATCACAAGATCGTGCTGTATAACTTACCTCTTAAAAAGCACAACTTTTCAACTTTTTGGGGGTAACATGGGCTATATGTCTGTAAAAGATTAACTTCCCCAGGGCTTGGAGTTTTGAGGGGTAAGATAAGGATCTATATTACTTCCTTGAAACCCGGGGAAGGAAGAGGCTGGATTTGCGTCGCTTGCCACAAGGCACGGTTTGTGATCGGGCGCACTCGGCTCTGGATCCGAGGGGCTCTCATCAGCAGACCCAGGTGCCTTAGAACTGTGCCTTGGGCCAAACCCAGGCGAACCTCGAACTGAAAAAGGACTGTCCTTGGCACAGGGCTCCTTCAAAGATTCGCATTTTGCCCATCCATTTGAACCAGGCGGCTTTTTCAACACCAAAATAAAGAAATGGAAACCCACCATTTACAAGTTGCAATGTTCGATCGGTGTATGCATCAGCTGCTCCCTGTGGCAGCTGCCTGACGAAAAGTCTCACTCCCTGAGCTCCTGGGCTTGAGAGGCTGTTTGGGGCTTGGGCCAGTTTAGTGGTGAACACATTTTTTTTGTTGGCCCATCCACTCACGAAGTGAGTTGTGTGGTTGTTTTTTTGTTTTTGACTTGTTTGTTGTGTATGTTTGTTGTGTATGTTTGTGGGTTTGATATTCCCTTCCGAGGAGCATGTTTTTCGCTGACTCATACTAGTCAGGGCTGGTATTTTTAGCAAAGTATAGTATCACTCCAAGCGTTATTTTTCTTCAATACGTTTTTGGCACGACCATTTTAGAGGCAAACAACAAGTTCCTGCTTTTCCGCCGACCCACTCAGGAAGTAAGAAGCATTGCAAGTCAACCAACCGGAAAGTAGCAGAAGCTTTGCACATGGCCTTTGTTAGAAGGTGTCAGTTTCGTCAGATGTCTTTGGGCACATGTTGGCACTTTCTACAGAGATTGTCGACAAGTCCGACGAAACCAACTTCGGCTCGGTCGAGACCGAGTCGCCTGAGGACTGGTTCCACATCCGGTCCTTCGACAACTTGCTCGCTGCACGCTGGGCCCTGAGGTGGAACCGAGCCGAAGCTAATCTCAGCGTCCCCTCTGATGGGTGGTTTGGACATTGGGGGTGTGGTGAAACGGGGGTGGTTTCCCAATGTTCCCAACTTAGCCTCAAAGGCCAAGGTTTCAAGGGGAACCCCTAAAGAGAATTCCGGAAGAATCAACTCATGCAACATGGTGTCCATTTGCGTTTCAGAAGATGCGCTCGACTTTTCCCGGCTTGTAAAGGGAATCTATCACTGGAATGGAGGAACCCACTTTACAAAGGGGGGGTGACTTCCACACAAGTGACCCGGATTTCCACTAAACGCGGACACCCCTGTTTTTTGCTATGAACCCTGGGTTGGAGCAGGTCTTGGACCACTTTTCCTCCAGAGCCCTGAGCGATACCCCAAAGAAGGTAGGGTCAAGAGCTAAATACTGAGGAGTCATATTGCTGCTTGGGAGTCTCGGTCCCTTTTGAAAAAGGGGGTCAGCCTGGTATTTGCGTGGACTTTGGCGAGCTCACGTGGGGGAAGGCGAGCTGACGGTGATGAAGGTTTCCCTGCGGGAATGCTTGCAGATTTTGTAGCAACCATCAGCGACGTGAAAATGAGTTACCAACCAAGTTGCTAAATGGCCGCCAAATTTCAATTTCCCCAAGGGCAGCCAAAAGGCGATGTCTCTTTTCTTCAGGCCCCGGATTCAGCACGGGGTATGTTTTTCAGGCCCCCAATTTGCAGCAGGCAAAAAACACGTGTGGTGTGGGGAGTGTTTGCACCGAGATGAGGCCAGAACTTGCCGGTCTTCGAGGCAGGACCTTCAAGGTTTCATAGCTGGGCGCTGGGTTGGATCCGAGAGCTGACTGCTGGTACTTGCCAAGGGAGGTGGCTCTGCGTAGGGCTGTGGTGGACATTCTTCCCTTTTCCTCAGTTTAACTTGGAATCAGCAAGACACAGATTCATGGAGGAATGTGCCTTGGGGAAAAGTTGGTGTTCCATGTTTTCTTGAAGGCTCATCTTCCCACCAAAAGGAAACCCAAATGGCAGCCACGAGAGAATGTGGACAAATAAAAAGCCGAACTATGCGAAGATTTGCCGAAACAGCCTAAACTTCACTGTTCTTGGCATTTTTTGTTTTTTTAGTTTTTTGGTTCTGTTCATTTTTACTGGGGGTCTGCAAAAACAAAGTTGTTTGCTACCATACCAAGAGTAGAGATGTAAAACTATCCAACGCCATGTCTTGTCGGTTGCCAATATGGAGCCCAAGGGTGGAAGTTCCATACCCAACTGGAAGATGCAATCCAAATTCATGTTGCATGGTTGCTTTGTCACAGCCTAGACCCCCAAAGGACCCCCTTTTTTCTGCCTTTGTACCCCTTGTTTTTGGGTCAAAGGCAGAAAAGGGGTCCTTTGGGGGTCCAGGAGGTTTGCAACCACAATGGGTCTGTGTTTTTTGAGGGCTTCTTGCGTTGGTTTACCCAGGCTTCTCCTTGAAAACCACTTTTGTTGCGTGCCTGCTGTTTCATCACCCTGAGGAGTAGTGGTTTTGATGAGGGAAGCAGAAGAATAGGGTAATTTATCAAAAAATTGAGTGGAGGCTTCTTGTATTTTTGACCATGGTTCAAAGACAAACCCAAAAGAAACAGTGGGCAATAAGAATCAAAGCCAACATGCTTAAAACCCCCCTGGGATTTGGCATGTTGAAGCCACCCCAGGAGGTGGGCCCTTTCAATGGACTCCGACATCTTGCATGCTCTTTGGGGTGTCTGAACATCTCGCTGTGGCGAATGTCTCTGAACATTTCGAGGTGGCAATCTCGGAGTTTCGACCTTGCTCTTTGGAGCACATGTGAGGAAAACACATACCACTAAACAGGTCGGTATACAAGGGATATGCATTGGAGTAGAAAAGGGCGCAACACCCCGCAAACGCCCCGAAGGCGAGTCTTACGAAGGTCGCTCAGTCACAGGGTCTGCGACTGGAAGAACGTAACAAGCCCGGGTGGCCAAGGGCTCGCAAGCGCTGTGGAAGTTGAAGGGTTTGCTGAAAAAGGGATGGGAAGCAACCTTGAAAGGGAGAGAAGGGATTTTATGGAAATTTTGGGTGGCTTTTTAAAGGATTGGGAAACGCCTTGAACGAAAGCAAGGGAATAAAGGTGTTCCGTGAAAATCGTGAAACGTACATGCTCGGCAGAGAGTTTTGTGACCATACCTGGGGCCCAGTTGCAGAAATGTGTTCCTGAAATCCTGGACACTGGGTCATTTCTTACATCGCAAGGAAAGACTGGGGTGAGGGACTCACGGCGCCAAAAAGCCTTATGAAAGGATATTATTGAGGGCCTCTAGCTAAAACGCAGCGCGCGAAAGCTTGCGGCGAAAGTGGTTCAAGAAGAGCCCGCCGGGAAAGAATCTCGAAAGTGCATGTTTGCAGTTTCTGTGTTGCACGCCAAGCTCTACGAAAGTGATCATTACAAAACACATGCCTGCGAAAGTGAAACGTGTGGTCGCGAAAGGTTCCCCGAAAGCGATTTGTTAGTGGAGGATTGTACCCTATTTTCGGCCGGAACGGAGACGGCGCCACCAACTCTTTCTTTCTGGAACCCGGATCAACACTCTTGATGCCTGCAGGAGCTGATCGACTTCTTCTCCAGAGATCGGCCAAGGAACATGCAGGCGCAGATCGAGAGGGGGACAACCTATAGGACAAACCGCATGTTATTTTGACCATGAATCATGTGAGCAATACTAATGCCGACTCGAACCTAGATTACTCAACCTGGCGGAGAAGTAAGAAGGCGTTCGCCCAAAAGTGCAGGATCCATGCTGAAATTTGACACTTACCCAATAGTCTGATTATGGATATGGATGGCCACATACTTACGGATGGATAGTAAAGATAGATGAATTTGGATTTTACTCATGCTGGATGTATGGTGTCCTTTACTTGATCAGGAATCAACTACGACTCACGTAAGCAAACGACCCGTGAAGGTCCGTGAGTCGTGTGAATCAGGTTGCTGAGGAAGCCTTTGGCAGAAGACGGATTGTTTAGGTGTAGAAATGTCTTTGCAGATGCGCAGAGGCGAAAGAAGATGGCGCAAATTCCTTGAGCTCTGCAGTTCAAGGAGATCAAACTTGATGGGGAGGTTATGCCATCTACTGGACTTTGCAATACAAAGCATCAGATTGTGGCTCTTTGCTTGTGCAAGAAGTAATACAGATGCTTCGGCAAACGCCACAGCGTGGGAACGCTTGATGCCCTTTGGTTCTTTGTTGACCCATGTTGTTTGACCCTGACTGATTGAAACCGCCAGGTTTCCGCAAAGATCAAGAGCAGCTGCTACAGCGAGGCCGACTGCACAGGCAACACTTGCATGGGACCAAGACACTCGGCGAAAAAAACAAATCAGCTTTTGATTTGTTTGATGTGTCCGCTACCCTCTCGCCAATGGGCCGTGGAACCCGACAGGGGGTCCCTTTAAACGGAAGATGGTGTTCCAAAAGCCACCTGCCGGGTTTGATGTAAATTGGTGGCAGGGCAATCGGTGCCTCGGATTGGGGCAGACTTGAAGCCCCAGATCTGGGCCTCCAAACTAGCGACCCACATCAATTGCTGGGATGTGTCAGCAATCCCCGTTGAGTGTCCCAAATCGTGGCCACTGGGGCAAAAAGTGACATGAGGCCACTTAACTGAGCGTCGGGAATCTAGGTGGCTTCTTTTTCGCGCTTCAAAGTGGTCTCTTTTGCCCGGAGGGTGCAAGGCTTCGTTCTCAAGCGAGCTTGTTGAGAGAAGCATGGCCAACTGACGTGGAGGCAGCGTGATTGCCTGTTGATACTTAAAATGTGAGTGTTTGCGTGTCATTTGACTGTTGCCCGGAGGTGAATCGAGGTACTCTTGGGTCACGATGATATCGCTTAAGTGAACAAATAAATGACGTCTTGAAATTCGGTTACATGACCATTTTTGCCGAAAAGGACATCAAATCCATAAAAAAATAAATAGGTCACTCAAAAGAAGCTGGTTCCTTGTGTGTCGTGCATGGTTCCCCGTGTTGTGCTTGTTTGTTTTTAGTTTGGCCACACAGTTCTTTGCGCTAGCTCAACTCAATTACCAAATGCGCAGAAGAAAGGAAAACACTTGCTCCCCCCATCAAACTTGAAACAACAAAAGCACCCTGGTTAGCAGAGTGTCATTGTTGGTGGCCTGCTTTAAGGTGCGTTGGAGTCTTCGACCAACCATCATTGAACCATTCCACTGACCAACCAAGCTGAGCCGAACATACGAGCGCATCGTGTTTCCATGACTAGCTTACTTATGTTTGTTTTTCTGGTTTGGGGGGGTGCGTGGGGGGGGGGTCCTTGTGTTCCCTTTTAGCCAGCAAACAAGCACGTATTGCTGCGAGTCTATGCCTGGCCTGTACATTTGTTGGTTTAATCATCCAAGCATTCAACCAACCGAGCCAGCCGGAGAAAGAGCAGAACAGAAACAACCTCGAAAATGCAAACAAATTCAAAAGACAAAAGCACAAACTAAACATAGAAACAAACAGACCAGCAAGCAAGCAAACAAAAATCAATAAACAAATGACAACAACCAACATCCAAACAAAGCAAGCAACACAACAAACCACAACAATTTAAAGACCAGCAACAACGAAACCACCAAGCCGTTCTCTGATTTCCGAGGCGACTGCAAGGAGAACGAGGACAACCCCTGCCCAGTGGGTTATGGCTGCGGATGCGACGCCTCCTCGAACCAAATGCTTTTTACCGCAGCCTTGGGCGCCTCTATGCTCACTGAGGCGACGCTGAAACCTCACTTCCTGGCATCTATCTTGACTGCTATTGGGCAACGGATCTTTAGACTTTACCTTTTTGGTTGAAATCAAGGCATTTTCCACTAAACCCCCAACAAGTTGTCAACTTTTTGCAGGGGGTCAACAGCAACCAAGTTGAGTTTCAAACAAACCAGCGGCCAAAAGGGCTACCAAGACCCTCAACAAATTCCCTGACACATGATGAATTTCACCTCATGATTTGGGGCTAGAACCCCATTCTGAAGGGAATGCTGAAGTTTCAGGTACAAAAGTTCCTGGGTTCCTGGACTTGAGCCACTTTTTGAGGTTCTGGAGAAAACATCTACCAGATCAGTTGGGATGGAGGAATCCTGATTGGAATCCTGAGATCACCAGAATCGATTTTGTCCATTCAAATACGTTGGGCGTTCAAGTTAGCAGTGTTTTTTAACCATGGGGCACGAACCCCAGCCCCACTTGTGACCTTGGTTGTAACCTCAAGTATGAGTGCCCAATTCCTGAAAACCCAAACTCGGATCACCAAAAAGCAAGATGCTGAACCCCACCAGTTCCAAAACACAAACAGACAGTCGCAATTCTCTTCTTCTTCCTCTTAACCCCGATTGCGGACAGGAACTCGCCTCTTCCCACCCCCCCCACCGCACCACCCCACCCCACCCTGGCCCACCACCCCACCCCCCACCCCCAGCCCACGCTCTGCTCCCCCACCCCCTCCCCACCCCCACCCCACGCCCCACGCCCCCCAGCGCCAGACGGTGCAGAACACTATGATCCTCGGCCCCGCCTTCGTGGCGACTTGCGAAACCATCGCGCTGGGGGGCGCCGCCTTTACCGCGCCTCGGAGACAGCCGAGACTCGGATCCCCGTGACCTCAACGGACGCGGGTTCTCGGGGTGTGGTTTCCGATTTTGGCATGAGAGTTCCCCCAAAGCTTTGAGGCACATATTTTGTTCGGGTTGTCGCAAGCCTTTGGGTGCTAGGTCCCCAGCCAGGTGCCCTTCTCTCCCCTTTTTTGGTTCGAAGGGTTTCCCTACTAAAATATGTTCTACAGAAAAACTTATTCTAAGCTCTCAAATCTGGAGGACCTCGAGTGCAAACAGAAACCAAAAGGACGCAGCGAATCGTTTTTTCTTGGCCGAGGGGGGCTTGTCTTTGGGCCTGGTGCCTTTGTGCCCCATCCTGGCGCCGCTCTTCTTCCTGATGCTGTCGCCCTTCGGGCGACCCGGACATGGCGATCTGAGTGTTGGGTCAAAACCCTGTGCCCCTGGTGAACATCAAAATAGGTGGCAAATGGATGTTCATCCACCCCAAAATGGAGCCATAGATTATGCCCCATGGCCATCTGAGAATTTTGGATGGCTTGAGACAAAAGGGAAGGAGAAAACTAAAAAAAGCCTCCAATGGGACATTGGAGAAAGGTGCTCCGAGTTGGATCCATCTTCGAGTTTGGTGATGGCTTTCTGTTCCTAGGTCCCCCAGTAGTGCCCTTTCACCTTTTTTTTGGGAGGGTTCCCCTACTAAAAAGGCTTACAGACAAAAGTTGGTACCCTTATTCTATCCTCTTTACTGGAGGACCTAGGTAGAAGCGGTAGAAGAAGCCGAAAGAGGGACGCCATGTGACATGTGCCGCCTTGTTTCAGGGGTGGGAAGGGTGTCCCTTTAAAGTCAACCAACTAAAAAAGGGTGCCTTTTTGTTTCTTCTTGTTTTCCCATGGCCACTGAACATCTGAGAGGCAAACCCATGAGTTTGACCGGGCAATCACTGTGGGAGGGAGAGACGCAGTGCAAAAAATGTTTGGAGGTCTGCCCCAACTGTTCTGCTCCACCTCCAAAAAGCATGTAGATGTTTGTTTCCACTGGCACTGCCTGTGGCCCCTGTGTGCTTAACTGTTTTGGAGGGGCTCAATTGATCAACTCCTGTTCGAGGGCGTTTGTTTCACAGGGAACTCTTCTTCCTGGTCAGCCACGACTTTGCTTCACTTTGGCTGTGACCAGGTTTCTCCCAAGCTGACCTTATACGGGTAGAGAATGGGTTTTGGGTCCTATTTCCCTTTTCCAAGGCCCAGCTTTCCGCCGTTTTTTTTTCTCCATTTTTCCGGGTGCTCGGAGCGCTCTCAGGTCGGATGTGCTTCTGGCCTTCATCTTCGCCTCCATCGTCGGGGGCCTGAACAAGTGCGGCTGCATACCACTGGAGTGTTCCTCGAGCTCCCTGATCCATAACAACGTTTGTGCCTTGCACCACCCCCAAGGGGAGGAGGAGGAGCCTTGAGCGAAACTGCTGCTGCTGCTGGTGCCAAGAGGTCTCCCCTCCAGGGTATCCAAGGCTAGGTTTTCCAGTAGTGCCCTTTTACCATTTCTCTTTTGGGGGAGGGACTACAAAAAAAGGGCACCCTTATTCTAACTTTTCTACAGGAGGACCTAGAAGGTATCCAAGGGGTGTTTGCTTTTCTTTCGACCGCAGGAGATGCTGAACCCCTACCACTTTGTCCCCCCGCCCAAGAAGAAGTGTGCCCCGGGGACCATCGGCTGTTCCCTGCAGCAGTGCAATGAGACTGAACTGAGCACTGCCGAGGCTGGGAACCGATGGGGTTGCCCAGATCGAATCGCGACCTTCTGACAGTTAGCGGAGGCAAATGTGGCTATGAATTTTAGCCGGGAATCCCCTGAAAAGTGGTTGGTGGACATATGAATACCCACCTTAAATGATGTCCACCAAAGGGTCCCTAATTGAAACTTATACCCATTTCAATGTGGGTGTTCTTTCATTGCAAATTCTGTCTTGGTTTTCCGGACGGTATTGTGAGAGCCCCGTGCTTGATTTATTTCAAGTTTGATGAAGGCTCTTGGCATAGATTACCTCATGGAAGCCAGCTGACTTTAGTCCAGTGACAAATGAGGAGGGTGTTTCCCAAAATTGGAAAAGGATCCAGCGGCGTTGCCAAGAGTTCATTGCGGGCACGCTCTAAAAATCGAGTAGGTCGCAACTGGCAGGGGGATTCTGATTCACTTCGGGCAGGTCCTTGCTATGTTGACAGTGCATTGTGCAAGTCTTCGGCTTTATGCACGTCCACCCCCTTGTGCCTCGTTTAGACGCATTGTGATGGGCTGATTCAAAGGGAGTTGTCCTCGTAGGGTGATGTTCAATCGGGACATATTCTGAAAATAGTGGACCGCCTGTTGGTTGGTCCAAATTCACATCTTGAGAGCCTTTTTCAGGGGAGTTTTTGAGGCTAGCCGTTTGGTTGACCTTTCAAGCCAAAGTGCAAAGGGGCCGAGCCTCAAGAAGGACAGAAATATGGGCCATGCACAAATGGTTCCAGGCAACAACTAAGTCTCTAAGTTACAGGATAGATTCGGTGAATACTATATATATATATATATATGTCTTCCACACTTAAAGTGCCACAACAGTTCGGACCCCAAATAACATGCCATGTGGGAGGGCTAAATCCACTTTGGACATGGTTGAGGACCGCGCTTTCCCAGTTTTTACCCATGCATGCCTAAATATGGTTCTGTCTCTAAAAGTCAGTTCCCTTTGGCTGTCTGTTACAACCTCTAGAAGAGTTCCCTCCAAGAAAGACCCACCGAGTCGTGCGCTTCCTCTCCGCAGATGGGCTGGCATGCAGAGGGCGGAAGGCTCTACGGGCGCCATGTGGGCATCTACAACTGCAAGGCGAAAGCTGTGCAAAGGACTCGTTGGGAAGCTTTTAAATTGATCCTTCCCCTTGATCTAGGAAAGGAAAGGGATGAAAGAGTACCAAAAAGATCAAACAAAAACTACAGGGACAAGAATGGGTGAAATCCACAAAAAGCACATCGAAACCGTTTTGTAGACTTGATCCTTCGATGTTTCTCCAGGCAAGAGCTTAAAATCCAGAACTTTTCCGGGAGTCAGGAAGGCCCAGACCGCAACCAACCTCCGTTCTGAAGGTGGGGTTCAACACTTGTCAGATTTGCGTTGGGTCTTGGGCTTGAGAAAGGCAAACTTTCAGCGCGGTCTTTCCCGCGAGTGGATCTTTGAGGCTCGAGGCCCTCTTCGCCCCGGCTTGGAAACGTTTGACTCAGGTTCGGTGCCAGCGGCCACAAATTGTTCAGAGGCGGAAGTGAGATATCGGGGTCATGTTTGGCTCGGCTGAAAGAAATCGGGTCAAACCCAGTGGCCCAGTGGATTCCGCCCCTTGTTTCCGTTTTTTTTTTTGGACATCGGATGATCATTTTTTCCCATGGAAATCCACTGGGCACCGGAGTCATCTCCTCCCCAGGAAAAAACAACAAAAACGTGGTACGGCGCGTCGTTTTCCAGGCGGGCCCCTGGAACGCCAGCGACGGCCTGAGCGCCTTTGACCACAAGGCCTTCATGGAGCAGCACCAGGCGCGATCAACGGGGTGAGGGGGGGGGGGGTGGGGGAGGGGGGCAGGCGGGGAGGGGGAGGGGGGCAGGCGGGGAGGGGGAGGGGGGCAGGCGGGGAGGGGGAGGGGGGGTGGGGGGAGGCGGGGAGGGGTGGAGGCGGGGAGGGGGGGAGGGGCGCCAAACGGGGCGATTGGGAGGCGCTAGGTCCCCCAGCCAGGCGCCCTTCTCTCCCAACTTTTTTGGCGCACTGGGCAATTCAGATGGAGTTTACCTGGCCAAAAAAATGGCAAGTTACTACAGCGATGATTATGAGGTCCCCCAGCTAGCTGCCCTGGTCTCACCAACTTTTTCGGTTGGGAGGGTTGCCCTACTCAAATATGTTCTACAGAAAAAAGTTGGTAGCGGAAAAAAGGGGAATACCTGATTTATTCACCACCCCCTATGGTTCCTTTAATAGGGGCCCCCTGGGTTCATTCCCACATTCCCAATTGAGCACCAGCAAGGTTTATAGGGGTCTAAATGAATACGCACCTAGGTCTCCCATGTGACTTAAGTTGGGTTTAAGGTGCCTTGTACAACCTCATTCCTTTTTTTCGGCCCTTGTATCACACTTTTCCCTGACGGAAGACACTTGTGGGAAGGTAGGACGATGGTCAACTTCCTCAAGGGACATCCCCTTTCAGTTGACTTGTTGCAGGGCTCAGCTTCTGCCCCAAACCAAGCAGCCCACCTGGAAAGGTTTAACCGGGCCTTGGAAAGATGCAATCGACTCTGATACCAGGCGCTGAATGGCACCTGTTCCCGTCAAGGGCCGGTTTCTGGGCCTCAACTTCTTCCGTTTTTGGGTGTAAACATCACCTTGTGGACCTCTTTGGCAGGGCCTCTTTGTTGGGCTATGGCATTCCATTCTACGAGTTGAACAGTCAAACCAGTTCATGCTCTCCAAAGGCGCCGTCAATCAAAGCAGCTGTTTGCTGTTTCTTCGTGTGGATTCCCAGGGAGTGTCCCAAACAAATTGCAAGGGTACCAGCTGGGTCATACCAGTTTGCTCTGTTCCCGGGCTCAACGCGTTTTTTTGTGGGTTCATTCGGCCGGCAGGTCGGTATTTTTTCCTCCTCCACTCTTTTTTCCCATGGTCCGGGGCCTTGTTGGCGTTGTTTTTTTTAATATTCTTGCGGGTTTGTCGTACAGGAGGAAGCAAACTAGGGACTCCAGGGACCCCCAAAATGTCCATCGGCTTTCTTTGTGTTCCTCTTGGCTTCCCCTAAAACCATGCGGTTTTTTCAACCCCTGACCGGAAAAACCCGCTCGGGTTCTGGCGGAAGGACTGGGAGGAGCTGAAGGAGAACCTGGTGCCGCAGGTGCAAGCACCCAAGAAGCTCTCCTTCCTGCAGGAGTCGAGTCGAGTCGGGCAGGTTGTCCAGTAAGGAGGAAACCTCCCCATAGTTTTTCAAGGGAAGCCCAGAGGAGCACACAGGAAGCCGTTTGCTTTTTTTTGGGGGGAGAGGAGCGCAAAGGAAGTTTTTGTTTGTCTAAGAGAAGCAGGAACAGGAAGAACCGGGGGTTGTTCTAGGGGTTGATTCCTTTTCCAATATTTTCCATTATTTTTGACCATCGCTCTTTTCAAAAACCAGCTGTTTCCCCTGGGGTTCTGATGGTTTTCTGGGAAGAAGGATCCCTGGAAAGAATGCGGAAGCGTCCCCTAGATTGTACCAATCTCATATTTTTTAAATGTCAACCCCTAATGCATAAACCCCACTTGTTATAAAGCGTGTCCTTGATTTAGCGGGGAATCCCTCTTTTTTTCCGGGGAAACCCTCTGATTAATAACTGGGCAGGGGTTTTCATCAGGGGTCAGCTTTGCGAGGTCGCTTGGTATTCCTTTATGTCCCCTTGCTGGTGCGATAGGTTGGGAATGTGAGAATGAACCCCGGCTTTGGTCCCCTTAAACCAGTTGGATGGTTTATCCCTGGAGGTCAGTTGCCACCATTGAAACAACGGTTGGGTTCATAAAACCATTGTTTTCCCAAGGATTGTTATCCAGTTGTCCTTCTCCCGGAGGGTCCAAGTACTTCCAAGGATTGCTTTCGGCAGGTAAAAAGGGCTCTAAGTATTTCCTCAACTGGGACGTGGACCCTTTGGGTCTCTTTAGAAACCACCCATTTCCCCGAAAGCTTGCATTTTGTTCGGAAGGAAATGATCCCTGAACAGAATGTGAGAACAAGAAAGCGCTGCGCATTCACGTGGAACCAACAACAACATGAGTTTGTTCGAGCAAACTTGGTTGGGACCGACCGTCTTTTCGGGTTCCATGTTCATCTGCAGCGGAGGGTCTCTCTTCCCCAGTTTCCGGACTTTGACATCTTAAGATCATCGTGGTGTTAAGACAAGTCTGGACAATTGCTCTGACCACTCTGGAAGTGAGAAGGTCCAGGAAGGTTCTTGCTACTGGTGGTTGACTGAAAAGAGACATGCTCAGGGCTGTGTTTGATTCACATAGGTTTCGTTCCTGTCGAGACAGCATCCTATTGAAACGACCTGGTGGCCTGCTATTTTGCTACAATATGCAAAACAGGGTGGGGGTTTGCAATCCCCATTTTGGGGATTGAATGGGTTTGGTTCTTTGTGTTCTTCCTTTCAGCCAAGCCCAAAGCGGGGTAACCTGACAAACGACGCATTGGGGCTGCTGTTGAATGAGACTGGTTGGTCTACCCCACTGCTGTGATAACCTTTGGAAACTCTTGGCCCCCTGCGAAGAACTTGTCTTCGCGGCAGGCGATTTGGTTTTCAGCCAGCACTAGCTCCCCCAGTGCCCTTTCTCACCCCTTTTTTGGTTGGGTGGGTTCCCCTACTAAAATATGTTCTACAGAAAAAATACAATAAAAAAACAATCCGGTACCAACTTGTTCTATCCTCTCCACTGGAGGACCTAAAGGCCCTTCGTCCATTTCCCTTTGGGTTTCAATCATTGGTGTCATGGTTTAGAGAAGCCCGGCACTTGGCAACCCATACGGTTTTGTCAGCCAGTGCAGCAGTGGTTTGGATCCAGGAGTGGACCGAGGGCTTGCCCAACTCTGTGCGGAAGTGCTTCAACAACACAGGCGCGGCCAGACCCGACGGGGTGGCGGTTTCGAGTGGCGACGAACTGGGTGGCGCCATTCGCGTGCCGTTTGGGGGGATGTTTCAGCAAAAAAGCGACCCGCCATTTGGTAAACAAGGTCCCCCAGTGCCCTTTTACCCTTTTTTTTCGGGGAGGGTTCATATACTAAAATAAAGAACAGAAAAACGGGTACCCTTCTTCTAACCTCTCTACTGGAGGACCTAGAAGAAGCGCCCCCCCCCATTTGGTAGAGTTGAGGGCAAGATGGCGAGATGAAGGCGATTCGCCCAGGTGTGTCTGGAAACGTGGACTTTCCTTGAGCTGGTGGTTTGACTGGAACCGAGCAGGCAATGCCCTTGGAAACAATTGCCCAGACAAAAATAAAACCACACAAACAAACACACAGACAAACCAAAAACAAACAAACAGGCGAACAACCAACCAACCAAACAATCAAGCAACCAAGTGATCTGATCACTTTCCCTTGGAACGTAAAGTGATCACTCTCCCTCGGAAATCATAAGTGCAGGGCGTCCAGCAATGACGAGAAGCAAGCTGGACCGTTTGCACCTGGTGTGAAGCCCAGTTGCCCAGTGGTACCCTTTTTGGTTTTGGTTTGTTTTGGGGTGGGGAAGGGTTCCCCTGTAAAGTCAACCAACCAAAAAAGGATGCCCCCTTTATTCCCATGGCCACTGAGGAAGCGAGGTGATGTGGTTGGTTGAAAGGGGGTCTGCACTTTTTGCAACTGAGCAAAACCAGCTCACCGTTGACTTTTTTGGGAGGGATCTTGGATTCGGTTCGGGCCGCCAGCTGGGCGCTGGCTGCCATCGAGTGAGGGTTTAAACGAGTTCCGGCTGAGCTTCTCGAGCGGGTCTCGTACAGAGCTTGAGCTTCCATGCCCATTGCATGGGGACACATTTTTCCCATGTTTGATTATTGTGGTTTAGCGGTTGAAATCACTAGTTAACTGCTAAAATTTAAACCTTCCAACGTCAACCAAGATGAATGTTGGCCCCATATGAATCAACCCCAGTGTATCAATAGTGGGGTGGTCCCTAGTCCGGAATCAGACCACTTTTTGGAAGGGCCCCCCACCCCCTGACTAATTGGGTTTGATTCAGATGGCGTCGATATTAGGTTGATAGTCAAAGAGGCTAGCCTCGTGGTGCCATGTTTTCAGCTTGCGGTTGCGGGTTGCACCTGTGCACCTGATCCGATAAGCCGAGAGGAGTGCGGAGTGAGTGAGTGAATGTCAGACCCCTGGGAGCCCAAGACCTCAAATATGAAGGTCTTAGAAAAGACCCTGGATTTGAGGGAACCAAAAAATGTTCCTACATATAAGGGTCTTAGCTGGTAGATGAATGATGCGGGCACGCCCGCACACAGCCTCACCCCTCGCCATGGTACGCTCAGCCTGTTTTTGAAGCTCTTGCATGCAGACTAACGTAGGTTGCAAAGTCTGAATTGCGCCTCTGGTCCCCAAATGCAAGTACAATGTTGATGCAACCTTGCTTTTAAAGGGTTTATGGGGCAATAGGGCGCCAAGACAAGCGCGCGATAGCGTGCGCAAATTAACTAATTGACCGTCTCATGCGTGCAGGCACACATCAGGCTTCCAAGGGCGCCAGCTGCAAGCGGTTTTTGATCTCCTTGTAGTTGCAGCCCAACCTGGGCGGGTAGGCGCTTGAAGTTTGGTGTACCCCCCGCCCCCACACCTTGTCCACCATTTTTGCATAATTGTTCTCTCCATCGTGGATCTCTGGCTAGAAGCTGCAATGCCTGAGATTGGTCATGGCCTTTGATTGTCGCACTGCTCGTGTTGATGCTGCAGACTGCGTTTAACCGCGCCAGGGCTCGCTTGATGAATTGCATAGTGCTTTCGTCTCTATAGCAGTGGTACCGTTTGAAATTGTAGCCTGATCAAGCCGTTCGGACATGTGAACGGTTTTGATGCGCCTTGCATGCTGACAGGCAACACGCATCCCTGACATCTCGCAGCATGTGGTGCATTAGATGGTGCTTTGGGCGTATCTGCCATCGCATCCTTAGATATCGGTTGTTGTTGTTGTTTTTTTTTTACAACGTTATAACTTCTTTTAAACATCGACCATTGTTGTCTTTTTGTTGTTTGGGGGGGACGGCTGCAATTTAACATTGACCCCGAGGCCCAAGCCCCATAAAAGAACTTCCGCTAGGGGGAGTCTTTTTGCATGTTGATTTCCAGGGGATCCCAACCTTCAGCACTCTTGATTTTGGTTGTTTAGAAAATCATTGCACCAACGTTATACCTGCAAAGTTGGTTTCATGATCGCGCTCTAGTTTGTCTTCGCCAAGCCTCATCTTGCGAGAGGCAGCCGCGCGCGCCAGTTTCAAATAGCTTTGCAGCCCTGCCATGCCAGCCTCGTAGATGCCATTTGCTGCCTCAAGTACCAAGGCACCAATGTTGCATGTGCCCTGAAAGAGTGTATCAGAATTGGTGCTTCTTTGGGGGTTTACCCGGCAGGGCCCATCCACATTTCCCAAAAGCAGATACGGTGTTCATCGTGCTGGCAGAGCCAAATTAAAGGTCTATTCTGAAATAGGCCCCCCGTTCCAAAAAACACGGTCTTGTGAGAAACCAGCCACAATTTCAAGCTGCGATGAGCTGCCTTTTGCCTCATCATCGCTGAATTGAATTGCCGGGGTGCCCAGTGAGTCAATGTCAAGTCATTCAAACTGTTTGTGCTGTATATTTTTCAGTGGACGCTTGAGCCCTCAAACCCACACAAATTGAGCCAGGGCTCTGATTGAGTGAGCAAGCGGTCGCCCGCCTCAGTGCGGCAGTAGAGCTCATGAAATCTGTACACACAGAGGGCCGTCTCGCGGATCATGTCAACATCCTCTGGCGCGATGTCTTTGAGCTTGTTCATGTCTTTTACCAGCGCGCAGGCGTCGTGTGCCAGAAAGCTTGTGATTACTCTCGAGTTGTAAGCCTCGTGGCAAGCGCAAGAGATCTAGCAATTCTCATGCGTTCACTTCAGGGATGTTGCAAACAAGAAACCTTTGTTCGTAGGAGGCACATGTCATCCGGGCTCGAAACAAGCATGTAGGGGCGGAACTGCGGCTGACTGCAAGCAATCCCATGCACGTAGCGCCATTCCCGGAATCTCGCCCACGCTGTTGCAAGTTGCTGGCGCAAAGGAGGGGGCCCATAAACACCGTGATCAAGCAGTGTCCGCAGCGTTGACCCATTCAAGTCTAAACCGACCCCCAAATGGATCGCGTGCATACTGCACGGACGCAGCATAAGGAAGTGAAATCCGTGGCACCAAAGCAGGGAATTCAAGTGGGGATCGGCCATTTTAATCTCTTCGTCCATAAACATTTCAAAATTCAATGCGGTTGCGGCCCAAGCAGGGTTCTCATCAAAGTTGTACAGCGGACATGTAGTGCATTTGGTCGCCCGACATCGGTGACACACCCGGTCTGACCGCCAGTGACTTCTGATGTTCCAAGTCTCCTGGAGCCACTTCCAATCTCCACGAATTTCTGTGAGCCTGAAACGGTGGTCTTCGCCAGGGAACAAAGGGGTACCTGCCAATTGTGGGTCCCAGGCTTTGCCATCTACATCCCTGCATGGATGCTCGTTCTTGTAAAGGCAGTTGATCGACCACTGCAGGAAGCGCCACACCGGCGCCAACGTTTCTTTTCCCAATGATTTCTGCATGTGGAGGCAGAACACCGGAAATCGTGACTTCCAAATTCATTTCTTGTGAGTATCCCATAAAGGGTAACCTCAGCGCAGCAAACTTTTAAGACAATACGGTTGATGAAATTGTACCATATAGCATCTACACGTATAGCTATACTACAAAGAGTAAGGCAAATATGTTCGGTTCAGGCTCTAACCAGAATAGTCAGGATCTTTTCTCCGGTGTCGGTGTACCGGGCGTCATCTCCATAGACAGATATTGGATAGAAAGCTGTTTGTCCAGGTACAACATCTTGCGCCCACTCGACATTGTGCTTTTTCATATGGGTCCAAAAATCGATCGCTTCGCCTAAGCAACAAACAACAAATTGGCAAACTACGGGTTCTTTAAGTCTGGCCAACTCCCCCCGCCTTTGTCCAGCCGGATGAGCTTGTTGCGAATAAGCCAAGGTGTCAGCTCATGCGGGGCGATGATTGGCAGGGTCCTCAACATGCAGGCGCCGGCTTGGGAGAAACGTGGGAAATGGTCAAAGCTTGTTTATAACTAACAAATTAAACCACAAGTGATAGCTGAGACCAGCGGCGTGCGCACGTTGGCATGCTGTTCAGGGTTTTCTATATCTTTGATCGCCAAGGCGACCGTGTGCATAGGCACCTGCAAGCTTCGGTCTCGTCCCTGAATCTATAATCAATAGCAACCTGGCCCCGATTTGTACTCCCACAACTCGTAAGAATTACCTTTTCGAGAGTGTGTGATGGTCATCAATGCAAACTCCACAACTTGTAAAATCGGTGCTGGGGTTTGGTCTCAAGCGGCTCCTTGTCTAGGTCGCTGTTCTTTTCCATCAATCTGCCCACATCCCGCGGCATGTGACCAGATTGCGCCCCCCGGGCTCCACAACGGGCCAGAGATTCAACGCTTTCAGGGACGAGTTGTTCACCAAGTTCCTCATTGCAGAAAGCACATGGCGGAAGTGTGTATGACAAACTGGCACTTGCACACACTCTACTATGCAGGCTAAAGATCCAAGGAAATGCACTCTGCAATGTCTTGAGCAGCAACGTAGCTCCACTCCTTGGTTTTGTAAATGTTTGTGACTGCGTGTGAACGGTCGTCAAACGTGCAAACAGCACTGGTGGGGATTGAAAACAGCACTCGTGTGCTTTCGAGTTACTCCAGCTCCAGCCCCGGCAAGCAGTCGCTTCTGAATTAGGCCAATCTTGTTCGGGAGCGCATCGCCACCTGCGTATCGGCCGGGCTTGAATGCAAACTCGTTCGGCCAGGAGTGGCGCCAGCGATGCACAGCAACTTCAAGCCAGAGGCCAGGCTTGCTCGCACACAAGCGGTTGGCTATCTTTTTTAGACCACGGCGCTGCAATGAGCCAAGTTTCAACCCTGCTACGAAAATACTGAAGCCTTGCCGTCCAGGGCACACCCTAGGCCCTGAGTCTAAGCAAGCTTGCCCCTGCTTTCAGGTCGGCACCAGGCCACATGATAAGACTAGTCTCACAGTTTTACATGTCAAATATGCTAGGGTGCACAGTTGCAAAGTTGCAGCAATCGAAAGCAAATGCCTGGGTCCCCATCAACATGAAAGCACAACTGGGGTTGCAGGAAACTTGAAATGCTATCGCATAGTACGCGACACTATGCCTTTGGCTTTGCAGCAGCCTTCTTGGCAGCACTCTTTGGCTTTGCGATGAATTTCCGGCAACAAACAACTGCGTTCTGATAGCGAGCACGCAGCTGTCACCAGTTCACAAGCAGTCGTGATATCTTCGTCCGTCCTCACCTCGGAGACCTTCATCAGATATGCATTCAACAAGTGTTTTTTTGGCAAGCAGTACGGCCTAGTTCATGCTGCGTGTGATACTTCAACAAACATGCTGAAAAAACCATGGCACCTTCGTTTCCAAATTGACGTAGGATGTCTGCATGTCCGAGGCAGGGCCATCAATGTCCTTCAATAGGGCCTCAATCGTGTTCGCTGGCCTGGGATCGGTTTTGCCGTCGAGATTTGAGCCGGTTTATAACGCAAACATTCAGACCGGTAAACAACAGTTTGCTCTTAGCCGAGCAGCACCGCTGCTTCCTGCATTTTGCTCCGCCAGCATTTTGATTCCGTGATCTTGGTTGCCGTTGTTTTCAGCAAACCTTGCGCCTGTTGCTTCACAGTCTTTTCTTTGGCTTTTCTTGCAGGCTTATCGATCTTGTTGCCCCCCACCCCGGGGACCCCAGTCGGCTCCCCGCCGGCGCCGGCCACTTTGTCGCCGGCAAGGCCGCCAGCGTTCCCGTCTTGGCGGGCGTCTTGATCTTCGATGAGGCGCCGCCTGGGCAACACGAGGGCTGGGACCGCATCCGCGTGATACTCACGAAACATATGCATGTGTATATAGCTAAGGCGCGTCATGTTGTTGGTCCCTTCGGCATCGAGATTCCCCCCGCTGGTGAAGTTGTAGTTCATCTCATCTTCGCTGGCTTGTTCTTCATGGGCAGAATCAAAGATTTTGAGAAGGCTCCAATTGGGGTCCGTGGGCCTATCCGGGTGCACTCTGTACCACTTTGCCCCCTGGGACTTCTTGTACTCCTGACCGGGCTTCAAGCATTTGACAGCGACCGAGAACTGTTTATGTGTTTCTACGCACACGTGGGGTAAACTCCTGCATCTCAAGGGCCACGCCCTCCCCGAACTCCGCAGCAATCTCGCTGAATTTGCGCCACCTGTAGCTGCCAAAACGCCGCGAAGTACTCGACGATTTGGCGTTGAGCACTATGTGGGACTCCTGCCAGTTCTCGTGGGAGCTCAAGAACGCTTCGTATAGTTGCCTCATAGGCGCCCCCTTGCGCGGCTTCGCGTTGCCCTGCTCATCATAGCTAAAGGCTTGCTTGGCCACTTCTGCAGGTACATCTGGATGACCTTAAAAGAAAAATACGGCGCTTCCACAAACACACCAGCTAGCTAGGGAAAAGGAAATAGTTGCGATCACACAGTTAAAACGTGTTAATTTGAAAACCGGTTGGCGGATTGATCTGTAAAACCTCATGTAGGCCCTCCTTGCTTCCTTGGCTTTTTCCTCTGCCTGCATGGGTTTGTTGCCAGAAACGGCGCTAAATATAAACACATGTAAAAATTCGCTGCCTCTGTGTCTGCCGCGGCTTGCTTCTTTGAAGAGTCATCCGTGCCGTTAATCTCGCGTGTTGAGGCCCGCTCAAGCGAGTTGCGCACAGCTTCCACATCAACCGGCGGCTGCTCCAACGATAGCTTCTCGAACTCCACGCACAGGTCCTCTTCCTGCAAATTTAGTAGCTTCTGCGTCTCTTGCAGTCTGGAGAGATGCTCCTCGAACTGCGGGGCGTCTGCTGCCATCTTGATGGCTTCCGCAATCATCAGCTGCAAGAATGAGCTCCTGCTCTCGTGTACTTCGTGAAGGCGGTCCCGTAGTAGCTTGAGGCTGCCCTTGCGCTCCAAAGGGACTGCCGGCGCGGCGCCCTTGTGCTCCGTAGGCGTCTCCACCACCGCCTTGCCGTCGATTGTGTCGGCCTCCGCGTTCATGGTCTCGTCCTTGCCCTGCTCGGTCAGCGTGCCACCCTTCTGCTCGACATGCGACGCCGCCTTGCTCTCGACCGTGCCCGTCTCCGCGTTCTTGTCCTTGGCCTGCTCGGTCAGCGTGCCACCCTTCTGCTCGACATGCGCCGCCGCGTTGCTCTCGATCGTGCCCGTCTCCGTGTTCTTGGCCTGCTCGGTCAGCGTGCCACCCTTCTGCTCGACATGCGCCGCCGCGTTGCTCTCAATCGTGCCCGTCTCCGCGTTCATGGTCTCGTCCTTGCCCTGCCCGGTCAGCGTGCCACCCTTCTGCTCCACATGCGCCGCCACGTTGCTCTCAATCGTGCCCGTCTCCGTGTTCTTGTCCTTGCCCTGCTCGGTCAGCGTGCAACCCTTCTGCTCGACATGCGCCGCCGCGTTGCTCTCAACCGTGCCCGTCTCCGCGTTCTTGTCCTTGCGCTGCTCGGTCAGGGTGCCACCCTTCTGCTCGACGGTCGTGCCCGTCTCCGCGTTCATGGTCTCGTCCTTACCCTGCTCGATTTGCATTTCGTCTGCAACTTCGTCAGGCTGTGTAGGCGTCTCCGCCAGCGCCTTGCCGATCTCCTCCATGCTTGGCGTGTCCTTGATCTCGATGACCGGCGCTTGCTCATCCTTTTTAGCCTTCTGCGCTGAGGCCTTGCGCTTCTCCTTGATCATGGTCTTCAACCTCTGCTCAGCCTTCGCCCGTTCGTCGGCAACCACCTGCTCGTAGCACGTGTTGCTGCAGAAGATCTCGCAGCCCTGCAGGGAGACACCGTCTTTCGCAATCGCGTGCGTTCATAAGAAAAACAACATATCGAGAACATGTTTGCCTTGCCTTGCGGATCCACGGTGTAGCGCCGCCCATGTCATAGCCATGCAAGCCGCAGAAATCGCAGTTGAGTTGCTGCTCGTCGTCCGGAACCTGCGACTCCACATCGGTGCCCGATTGCCCCCAGCGCAAAGTCGGCTTGTTGTCCAGCTGCGCGTCGTCGGCAAGCTTGGCTTTCTTCTTTTCCGGGGATTTCAAAAGCACTGCAGACTTGTCAGACTTGCTGAAGCTCTCCGAGGGCGAGGGCGCCCCGCGCGAAGGTGTTGCCACTGGCTTGTGAAGTTGCTTTGCAAGATCAATTTGCTTCTGCAACTCCGGGGGTATGTTCGAAGCAGGCCGGGTAGCGGCTGCCCTTTTCCCCATTGCCGGCGTGAGAACAGCCAGGGTGAACAAATCACGAGTGCCAACTAGCTGGATCTAAAATGTTGCTCTATAGCGAGGGTCATGAGATATCCGAAATCACGCGGTTTCACGGAGAATCACGAATTTCACGTAAGGACCGAATATGAAGTCTTTTGGGCGTTTTTTTCACGCAATGTCACGCAGAGTCACGTGAAATCACGCGACACCTCAGGAGCATGCGGACCCTAAAATGCAGGAAGCTAGATTTGCGGACAAAACGGAACCCGCATCCAGGGTTGCGTGATCCCATGAATTGGCAAGCCTGGCGCTGCGCGCCACCACACTGTACGTATAAGCCTAGGGCAAACGCTTGCAAGTTGGGGTTGGCATTCAATCGTGAGATTCACCTTTCAATAATGTTTCAATTGCATCAGCGATATGAAAAAAAACGCCTCCCCCCGACCAATTCAGCCTGTTCACCATCGGCCCAGCTCAAGGGGCGTGAACACACCCAGTGCAGCTTCTTGTTTCAGGAAGCCCGTCAAACCTTTGAAGTCGCCCTCACTCCAGGTACCGGGGACTGCCTGAGCCGATTCTCAAAATGACGGCTTTTGAATTCCCATTCCCCATCACCCGCTACAAAGTTCAATCTTATTGCGCGTAGCCTCCAACTACCCAATACCGAATGTTGTTTTTGGAAACCCCCGTGTCTCCAGGCGCCCTTGGCGCTTTGCGGTGGCAGAGCGCCGGAAATGTTGAAGGCGGGCCCGAATGGAGTGGATGGACCGTAATTTTTTCAAGACCCTGCTTTTCAACCAGGGTTGACGGGCAAGATTTGGGTAAAATACACGTTATACTTGTTTGGGGACCTATCAACTTCTCAGTCCTTGCACGACGACGCAAAACACATTGCTGTGTGATCCGGAAAGCGTACAGTTTGTTTGCATACTTTCTTTGAGGACATTTGCGGTCCCCCAGCGGGTTGAAACTATGTGAGAAACCGGCGATGAAGGAGGCCCAGCCTTGATTGGGCACTTGGGTTTAACTGTATGGGCCAAGGCTCAAGCTTGGTGTTCTTAAGCTCGTTGTAGTTCAGCTGTGGCTCACGAACCTGCTGAGTCAGGGGTCGCTTTGAAGGAGGTCCTGATGAAACGAGCTTCAACTTTGATGGGCCTTGAAAACATGGTTTTCTGAGGCTGACCTTTCCTTCCCGAGCTAGGGGTTATAAACAAATCTAAAGGTCACCCAGTCCCTTCCCTTATAGCAAGAAAGTACGTATGCGACTACACAAACAATTCAAGAACGCGGCCTCTCTCGATTGATGCAATTGAAAGATTTCCCGGGCAAAGTTCTTGGGGTACGCTTGGCTTTGCTGGAGTAGCTTCGTTCCAGTCCTTAATGAAATGCAAGATCAACTGCTCAAGTGTTGAATTCAAGGTCTACCTGATTTCATCATATATCTGGTACAAATCAGCCCCGGGCACATGTTGTCCGGAACCATCACGCTTCAACTGTTTGCGCACCAAGACTTTGGATGTCTTCTTGAATGAAGCACGTTTGGCTTTCGTCATTGTGGTTCTCAGCGATGGCACCCAGGGACTTAGTTGATTGCAGTTAAAACGGTATACACATGTGCACAGTGTCGAAACTGGTGCAGTAGCCAAGGTGCGAAAACCCCATCACATAGCTAGCCTTTGGATTGGCGTGGCCCCAAAGGCCCATCCAACTTAGATGCAAAGAAACACACATGCAACAACGCTGCAAACTTATTATGCCACCATATACGCCTGGACTTGTTTGAATCGAAGCCCAACTTGCAAGACAAGCTTCAAGGTCTGATGCATCCATCGAACGTTGGATGCAGCTGCTAACACACGGGCAGTGTACCGTAGGTACGGCAGGTGTTTCAACTGCGAGCTGCCAGGTTGTTCGATATCCGTAAAGACATTGCGGGTCAAACCAATCAGCAAAGCCAGTGTGAAGCGGGTGTTTATGATGTTCGCTTGCTGAACGCCTAACAGCACCAGCACAGAACTCGAAGCGTCAATGTAACTTGCAAATAAAGTACTGCAAAACGCGCGTGTCCTAATTTTCAAGCAAGCTGCTTTTCTGCGTGGTGTCTCCCCAAGGTTGCCATTGGCTTCTTTTGTGCACGGAGCTCGACATCCAGATTTGGTTGCAGCAAGGATTCCCTCCCCACATTAACCCCCCTGGCCGTAACCTGAGGAGCTTTTTGAGCAGAGCGAGAAAACCGCTGATCTCCAGCAGGTTGAATTGTCAGTCAGGTCATATCTCGACCTCAGACACACGCACGCAAGTCGCGGTTAGTATGCATTTCAACTATATGAACGCGCGTGATACTTTTCTAGTTGCTGGACAAGACACGAGGCATATCCATTGTCGCCTAGCCAATTTTCAGACCCAAACCAGTATCGAGAACAAATCTTTGAGCAAGCTTCAAGTCTTGCCAGGAAGATATTTGAATCGCAGCACAAGTGCGTCAGGGTGCTGAACATTCCACAGATCGATCCAATTCCCGCAAACACCTCAAGATTTTCCAGATCCTGGCGTGCAGAGCACCAACCAGATTCAGAACATAGAGCACGGAACCAAGTCCGTCACATGCTTCGAAGAACCCAGACACATAACGCACGTGCTCAAATTTAAACGTCAGCGCTTTGCTTCTTCGCACAACATGATCTGAAAGTCAGTCCCGCTTGGAGTTGGGCGCCAAGGAAGCCACATAGTGACAAGCCTGCAACCTGGTCAATAGTCTTTAGGGTCCGGACAAGCGTGCGTGCAACTCACTAATCAGCTAAGAAACACAACGATAGGCACCTTCATCAGCAGTAGCAATTGCAAAGCCGTATGGCTAAGCTGCAGCGGGCCGACCACACGTCTCATCGGCATGGCTCGTGGCTCGTAATGTGTGACTCAAATCGAACTTCACGATCCAGTGGCTCGCGCTGCCGTGCAGAAAGCTGCGATTGAAATTGCAAGGCGAGCGCAAGGTGTGTGGCAATTGCGAGGAAAACTCGTAGATGCGTGTTTGCCCCCTTCCAGTTGTGCGGCAACTGGCTGCAGACCCCATAGAATACACTGAGTCAGTGTGAGATAATAAACAACTCGACTGGCTGCAAGGCTGAACCAAAATTCACCGGCGCTGCTATTAAATATTCAAAAACAAAAAGGTCATTTGATGCGATTGTGAAACAACAGGACTGTTTAAAAGGCCATGCGCCATGCCGAGCTGCTACAAAACGCGAGCCACACGCAACAAGTTGTTGCGGCTCGATCAAATCCGGATTGAAGCACTTTGCGCTGAACCTATATATGCCTAAACTCGCGGCGGTGGGAACAGGCTTCGAGCGTGCTTCCTAAACTCATCCAAATTCGTCGGTGCATTTGCAGGCTGAACCCAATTAGCAAGATACCGCGAAATCTGAAACCTTACTGGCAAATGCCGCATTTCCATCACTCAAACCACGCACACAGCGTTCGCCTGCTTGCCAAGTTGCGCCTGCGCAGAGCCTCTGTGACGCCAATTGACACTGGAGCCGCCCTTCTTGTTCACCTGAACGCAGGCAATAGCACGCGATATAAATGCTTGTAAGGTTCCTGAGTTCGTGCTAGTCATGGATCACAGTGCAACCAATCATGCCAAAACACACCGATGTCAAAGTATTGCATCACTAGGTTCGTGAAATCGTTTTCTTGGGTCTTGTACACGTAGAAAGAGCGAGTCTTCAGGATGATGCCAATGCTGCAATTATTTGCATCCAGTCCCTGGTCTGGTCGAACTGTGTATGACCTCATCAAGAACATGATGATCATGACAATGCGGACTCGCGTGTGTAATCATGCTCAGCAAGCGGTAGTTTGCATGCTAGTTCCGCTGAAACGCCACAAGTGTATCATCGTGTATAGCGATCTCTTAGCTATAGCTAATTGCAGGCAAGCCACTGCTTCAAGGTGTTATTTGCAGGCACTGGCATGTGCAATCCGAGAAGTATCGCCCCGGTAAGCTCTCCGGCCGCCTGACGAAGATCGTCCTAAGCAAAGTTGACTGCATACTCGCGCGTCTGCGTGCGTGCCGTTCACCATACGCATCACAACAAATTAATTTTATTAGACGCCCGCACCTGCGCAGCACGCGCGGCAGCCACACGCGCAGCAGCAGCCGCTTTGTTCTTCTCCGAGTCCGAGTTGTCCAGTTCGGGTTCCTATATACTTACGCGCTGCACACAAAGCGATATTGAGTGTTGTACCCAGGCCTTTGCATCTGGATGCGTCACAGGCGTCGGTGTGTCCACTCCAGCGCTCACACTGGGCTTGGGCGGTGGGGTGGCGAGCAGCGCGTCATTGTGGGAATTGGTTGCTTCCGCCTTTGCCTTTGCACGCGCGGCCCTAGGCTTCTTCACTGCGCGCGCAGGTGGTTCTGCTGGCGATGCTTCAAGCCTCGCGCGCTTTGCCTTCTTTGTCACAGCGCCGTTGCCCTGGCTTGGCTGCGCTGCTTCAGCTTCGTTGCCCTGGTGTGCCTGCGCTGCTTCTGCTGCTGCTTGGGCCTTGCTTGGCCGCTGTTTCTTCTTTTTTGCGATTTCTGGCATAGCTTCGCAGGGCTGTTCTGGCTGCGCCGCCGTTGGTGCTTCCTGCTGGTGTTGTTTCCCGCGACCTCTGCCCCGTCCCCGGCCGCGCCCCTTGCACTTCTCCTTCAACTTGGCCCTCTCAAGCGCCCTAATGTTGGCTTGCTCCCCAAACAAATCCTCCTTCACCTCCTCAAACGCGGCAGAAAGGTTGCGCTGAGCCGGTGTCTCCTCGTCCTTGCTCGGTGGCTTGATGCTGCCGAGGGGGATCAGGGAGCGCTCGTCCTGGCATATGTGAACCGGTTCTGCGCGTACAGATTTGTGGTTATACGCTAGCGCATAATCCCACGGGAAGTCCAAATCCGGCGCCCTTTGTTTAACGATTTTGGGTCCAAACACAGACAAAAAGGGCGCCTCAAACTGGAAGGGCGGTCTAGCATTTGGTTGGCAACTCTTGCAACCCCACGCAGTCCTGAAAGGTTCCAATCTCACCATCATTTTCATCGGCGGCCGAATCCTTGCGCAAACAAACCGCAAGTATAGAATAACCTTGTTACAGTGCGACAATCCCTTTTTTCGGGTTGCGCAGTCCTCCTCTTCAGCTAGATTTGGATCACTGACCTTCAGGCCGATGGCTGCCACGGCCGCGGATACATCCTGCAAACGTGATTCCGCAATAGCGCTAGCGATTGATCGAGCAAACAGTTTGTATAGGTGTAACTAGCTTCAACGTCATATACATGTACATGTCCTCATGATGATGATCATGCGTATGATCGTCGGTTGATTCCGCAGGAGCTCCAGGATGGGCTTCATCCACTTCCTTTGCCGGGTGCCCAAACGGCGAAGGACATGCTGAGGGTCAGGATCGATGGATAAATCAATAACCCCCCGCTTGGCCAAAAACTGGCTGTTTTGAATCCGGCTACTATTTGCCGGCGCTTGTGAAAACGCCGTGTAAAAGGGCTTCGGCATTTTTTTCCTAGCGAATGGTGCCGGAAGGGGTTTCCAGGCATGTGAAAATCAAAGCCACCCATGTGGAGGGGGCGCCAAAAGCATTTGTGTTTGCATCCGTGGTTCCCCCAAATCGCGAAGGCTAGATGAATTGGACATCGTGTTCACATCCACGGTCTCCCCCTCTGACTCCTCATCAGCCGCGGGCACGGGAGTTTGCTCATCATCGATAGGCACCTTGCGGAGGCGACAGCCGACCCAAAAATTAATTCCAGAACGATGACAAACAATTTTGCAGCTTGCCTGCTAGCTGAGGCGCTTCCCCTGATCCCATCAATTCAAGAATCAAGTGTTTCATTGCCTGAACTTTTTCAGACTTCGCCCCTTGTGATCTTCTTGTCATTCGAATGCAGTAGGTGACAAGGGCTCGGAGCCTGCCACCTTGCATAGCGGCCCAGTCCTCAACTTCCGGATGCTACAAAGATAGTTCGCAATCGAAATCTGAGTAATGTTTGATAAGATTCATTGATCTTCCGCTTCCGTCCCTTGAGCTTGGCCATCTCTCCCCAAATCCCGTGCACTTGATCCAGGCGCTTGAACCCTTCCTTATTAGCGCAACGCAACGCCCTGCACACCAAGCCAATGTGGTTTCTTATAATTACAAGAGGCGGTAAAAGTCCGAGCATGCGGGATGTTCATGCCAAATTTGGTCAAGGTGTTCAGGATCAAAAGGAAATTTCTTTCCACCTCAGCAACAGCAAGCCTAAACAGGCCTTGAGTTCGTGAGATGCAGGCAATACCATATTGACTTTGACTCACTTGTAGTGCTGCACAGGCCACATCTTTTTGGTACACATGGCCACCGGCCAAGCTCTCATCGGCGAGGGGGACGAGGGATTTGTTGTTCTTCTCCTGGATGGCGGTGACAGAAGAGCCCGTTTTGAAGCACGCCCCCACCCTCCACCCCGGGATATGTTGAGCCCTTCTTCACAAGTGCATGCCCGCCTCAATTTGTGTGGCAAATGAGTAAATTAAGATCCACCCCCCCCCCCGCAGTACACAGCACCTTGTCGGAACGAACAGCTGCCCAATCTGTTTGCAGGACAGTGCCAAAGGTAATCTCGAGGAACTCCGTCATTTCTTCCACATCCTTAAGCTTGGCTGGGTACCCCGTAACGCTCGCGCTGAACACACTAGATTGTTCAGCGCGAGGCTAAAGGGCGCACTTGCAAACAAAGAACGAGCAGGGTTGCAGCACGCAAGAAATATCGTCGTTGACAAGAATCGGATTTGCCAGAAGGCCCTGCACTGCACATGGCCACTGCCGAGAAACCCCGAGGTTGCTACGGCCTGTGTGATGGAAAATGGCTAGCGTCAGCGCACGTCTCATGCTTGCTGCGCACGCTGATTCTGATCAAGATCAAATTTGCACTGCCCAAAAAAAAAGTGGTTTCCAGCCTGCATCTCGTACATGTTGTCGCTTTCGATCAGCGTGCCATCGAGCACCAGCCGCTAAGGCGCGTTTCATTGCACGCCGTGCACATGTACAGCTAGCTGTGTGAGAAAAAGGGATGTCTAGATCATATAATCTAGATGTTGTTCCAGCCGGGCTCAACAAAAGGCACGAAAAGTCCCGGCAACTTGCTTCCTTTTTGCAATAATTGCCCCCAACATGCTGCCAACCATGCTGAGCCTGAGGGCAAGCACGCAGCTAGTACTCAAACCAAGCCAACACAGAGCCCTTGTCCCAAAAGCCTTTATATACAGGTTTTTCTGATTTTTGGACCGACCTCCCCCCCCAATCCTAAGACCCTAATATATAGGTTCTTGATGGGACCCCCCCCTGGGGCAGGTCTTTTGTCGAAAACCTCCATATACAAGGTCTTAGGGATCCTAGGGGACTGCAGGTGTGGTGGCCAAGGTTGGAGGCGCCTTCTGCGCCGTGACGCGCCTCGGAAGAAAAACACACACGAAACCACGGGGTGCTCAGGAGATGGAATTGTTGGTGTTTTTGATTTCAGTTGGTTTTGCGGTTGGGTTTCCGTTTAACCCACAACTTAAACTTTTAGCAGGGGATCGGAAAACAGACAGCCAAGTTTGTGCTGGTTTGGCCAGGAGTTCTTGGCTTTTGCGTGTTTATTTCTTCGACCTCTTTCGGGTGTTTTCTTCTCACGTGGGTATTGTGCCTGAGTCTCTGTTGGTCATGTTTTCTGTGGTGTCTCAGGTTTCCCGTGTTCTCTTTGCCATGTTTTTTTCTGTTCAGATTCCAAGCGAGTTTCCTCCGCAATGTTCGGGACACCTTCAAGACTCAGAGCTCTGCAATTCTTCCATTTGCTTAAGACTATTTTGTTTGGTTTCCCCTGTTGGTTTTGAAGGGAATCTGTAACTACTGGACATATTATTCTTTTCCAGGGGGCTTAAGCAAATGGCAGAATTGGTTTCCCTCCATTGCCGTCCTCTTGACAGCGGCCCATGGGGTTTTAACTCCGATTTTCGCGACCGCTCCCCAGCCAGGGCCGCCCAGCAGATTTTCGTGAATCCCCGCGATAGATCCAATGCCTTTGGAGCCCAGGCATCCGGTTCCGGTTTTGGCTCCTTGAGGCCAACTGGATGTGAGGCAAGAGGGTTCTCTATAGGTGGCTTGGTGGTTCCCAGCCATCCGGTTCCTTAGGTTTTTAGTTGTTTGAGGTTTAGTGGTTGGGTCCGAGCCAGGGAATCAACGCCACAATCAAAAGCTGGGTGTAGCTAAAGGTTCATTCGTATTCGTGACAGATCTGGCATAGATTTGCAGGTGGCCGCCTTTGGAGATTCCTTGCACGGTTTCGGGAATACTAAATTGGTTGCAAGTTTGGATTGTGAGCGCCATGAGCTACGTATAAATCCACAATAAGTGCAGAATGATCACGGGGTATGATTTGATGTTGTTGCTTTTTCCACATTTCACATTGTAAGATTCTATAAGTCTGGACAACAATGTAAAACAGCTGTTTTGGCTGCTGCACGTAGATTTTCGAGACATGTTTGGTGTCTCGTGTGATATTTGTCAAAGCCAGCAACTGAGCCTCACGCCGCAAGTTGGCCCCCGTATTGAGTTGGCACATTCGATCTTTTGTAACGCACGGATGGTGCGTCGAACTTCCTGCTGAAACGGCAAAGCGGCAAAGCCATTGGAAAAGGTCCACCGGCTTCGAATGCGATACTGCGGTTTGGTTTTGAAATTATTCGTTTGATTGCTGCAAACCCTCTGGCAGAAGTGGTTTCACCAAACGAAGCTCCAAACACGGGTTTGCTGAGCTGTCAGGGTCCAAGGTCGGACCAGAAAACAATATAGCATGTCTTCACTGTTGTTGGCATGTTGCAGGGGGCTGCGAGAAACAAAGTTGTTTGCTACCAAGGGTTGGGACGATTAGATATCTTGATGAACTTGAGGATGTCACTTTAGCGGACCCTGTATTTTGAACGTTTATTCAGGGACCCGCCATCCGCACAGCGCAACCCCCATTGGTGAGAAGGTTTTTGTGTTTCAAGACCTCAGGCGTTATACGATAGTTTAGCCTTGTGTGTTCATGGTCTTGAGGGCAGTGGCAAGGAAGGTCATTGGCCAAAATGTCTCGTCCCTGATACAAAGCAGCAACAAGGTGGGCCATTTTACCGTTCCTTTCGATGGGGATGTCGTTTCAGGAAGGTCATCGGGCAAATCTTCTCGTCCCTCATAACCATCATCGAGAAGCTGGTGATGTTCTTGATCGACGTTGTGGTGAACAGCTTGAAGCTGGTTCGGGCCATCTTCTTCAGCATCTTCAGGCTCATCCACAAGGAGCGCCGGCAAGAAGTTTGAAGTCGACGTGCTTCAAAGCAATGGGAACGGACCCCCATCGGGGGGGCAACTATCGGCCATGCTGAAAGTCATATTAGTGCCAGGTGTGGGGAACCTTAGTTGTTAATGTATAATTTTGGTCCCCCCCCCCCCACAAAAACAAGTGTGGGATTTGCACTCGAAGTGTTTCACACTTGCCCAAAACGAGTGGCAATGGGATCATTCCGCGAGGAGCTGTGCTTTGGGGAGCACCCCTGTGTGTTCCAAGCTCCAAGAGTCTGAGGACACCCATAGAACAGTGCTTTGAGCCCTTGCCATAGGATTAATTAACTCCATGTTCAAACCAGTTGCTCTTCCCAACTCCAACAAAATATGCCCAGGCATCCCAAACAGCCCCGGAACCCCTTGGAACCCTCCCTGAACTGCCCCAAACCAGGAGCCTATTGAGGCCCCAGAACTTCAGCTGGAGAAATACCCAGATGGTTCATGTCCCCTCATCCAACACCAGGAGAAGCCTTGGGCTATTCCCGCCGGCTACGGAAGCATCGGCTGAAGACAGCAGCCCTCAATTTGCCCCAAAAAAGGGGAACCCCCCCCCCCACCAACAGCACAACAGCCCAACAGCCCAACACCCCAACAGCAGCCGAAAAGCCCGACAGCGCACCAGTCCAACAGCCCAGCCCAGCAAAAGCAACAGAACAGCACCATCCCCACCCCCAGCCCAAGCCCTGTCCCGTGCCAGGACCTCGGCGGCATGCGCGCCTGGACGGAAGAGTGCCCCGCCGTGTCCCCGGCGCTGCCCTCCAGCGAGGAGATCGCGGCCTCCAGCGTCATGGAAGCCGACAGCGAGAGCTTCTGCTGCTGGGAAAAAAGGGAAGCAACCCGCCAACTCATGCCGTGATTCTTTGGGTGGTCCATGTGTTTTGTTCTTTGTGTTTTTGGTCTTGCATTTGTTCTTCTTCTTCTTTTTTGGGAGTGGTGTGGGGGGTGCGAGGTGGGGGTTCCATGTGCACCCACAAACCCACAAACAAGCCCTCATAGGGTGAAATGTTGATTCTAAGTTTTCAAGTGTGGCCTGGCCTCAATTCAAAATCTGTCAAGCAAGGTACCCTCCTTCGAAGAATCATAGAAGCCAGGAGCGTTCTGGAGTAGTCTTCCGTTTGGGGAATCCCCCCTGTCCACTTCACATCCGATTTTTGTGCGCACCCCGAGCCACAACACCAAACCCCCGACTCAGCTCCAAACCACCAACTGAGGGGCGGGGGGGGAAGATGATATTCCCAAACGCTGAGCAGTGGGTATGGTTCAAAATTAAACCACCAGGATGTGGACCGCAGGTTAGATCGTCCATGTTTCCACTTTCCAGGGGTGGCAAGTAGTAACATGGACGATTTAACCTGCCGTTCATATCCTGGTGGATTAATTTTGGCCCATACATTAGTACCTGCACCCGAAATAACTACCCATAAAAATGGGAGTTCACCCCAGAATCTTGGGGCTACAACCTGTTTGTTCTCGAATTTTGAGGGTTCAGGTAGCATGTGTCCAACAAAGATGTAAGCCGACAATGGGCTTCCTGGATTGCATAACGGATTTGCGTGGCTCCGGGTACCTATTCCAGAAAAAGAAAAGGTGTTGGCCCTCAAATTCTGGTTGGTGAACTGATTTTTTTCAGGGTAGAAGGTTATAGCCCCAAAATTATGGCTGGTGAACTCCCATGTTTTTTTGTTTTGGGGAAGGTTAAATCGTCCATGGTTCCACTTTCCAGGGAAAGCCATTTTGGGTACCCTCCCTTCAATCATGGAATCCAGGAGGGTTTTGGAAGACTACTGTCCTTTTCAGGAAGCCCATTGTCGGCTTACATCTTTGTTGGACACATGCTACTTGAACCCTCAAAATTCGAGAACAAACAGGTTGTAGCCCCAAGATTCTGGGGTGAACTCCCATTTCTACTGGTAGTTATTTCGGATGCAGGTACTAATGTATGGGCCAAAATTAATCCACCAGGGGATGAACGGCAGGTTAAATCGTCTATGTTACTACTTGCCACAACGGATTTTTGTGGCTCCGGGTACCTATTCCAGAAAACAACGGTTTTGGCCCTCAAATTCTGGTTGGTGAACTCCCATTTTTCAGGGTAGAAGGTTATAGCCCCAAAATTCCGGCTGGTGAACTCCCATGTTTATTGGTTTTAAGTGTAGTTCTTTTGGGTCCAGGTACTAATAATGTATGGGTCCAAATTAATCCACCAATCTATACACGGCAGGTTAAATCGTCCATGTTACCTGCCAAAACCGACTTAGCCAACATTCTGGGGTGAACTCCCAATTTTAAGGCTAGTTCTGTCTGGTCCAGGCCCCTTTTTTTGGACCATCTGCGAGGCCTCCACGGAACGCTGCAGCGCTGCGCCAGCCTCAGCACAAGCGCCAGGGAGGAGCTCCTCGGCGCTCAAGCGGATTCGAGCGACAGCGCTGTCCAAGCAAGCGAATGAGGGAATGAGTTCAACCAAGACCCAAAAAGGGTACCCCCAACCAAAAACCGTATTGTGTATACTTACAAGTACAATATATATATATATATGGTTCTATATATACCCCCCAATGACTCTACAGTTTTGCTGTTTGAAGGCTATTTTGGAGATGGAATGCAGTTGTTTTATGTGGGATTCATATCCGGCTTGACAAGGAAATCCTCTTCAAATCTAAGTTGGAACAACAAATCCAATTTTGTGTTTCGTTGAAATGGACATCCCATTTAGATTGTTTTTAAACTTATATATTCTACTATATGTTTTCTTTATTAGATTCCAGTTTAGTCTAAATAGAAAGTGGAGAAACACTATCCCGAGAAAGGACATTGTCTTTAAACAAATGTGTTGAATCCCAACTAGCAATGTTCTTCATCATGGAAATCCTTTTCAAATCATCTTTAAGTCTATTCATTTGTTGGGTGTTGTTCACTTTTAACTTCTATTTAAGGCTTAATTAGACATCCTTTAAAAAAGACATCTGTTTAAACATCTATTTTGAAATACTGATTCCAAGCAATAAACACTTAACCAAATAACACACTATGTAATGCCTCCTTAAAATTAGACATTTTGGTAGACTTATGTAGTTGTTAAACTCTGTTGAACCTATGCCAAGGAATCAACCCGGTTTGAACATCGAGGTTCAAAATAATGTTGACTACACATCTAGTTCGGCAAGGAAATTATATTTAAATTATCTTTAACCTAGAATCTCTACAAGGGTGTGTTCCTTATTAAATTCCATGTCAACTCTAATGATAAAATTACACAAACACAATCCCAGAAACATATCCCCGTTTAACATAATCTGTCAATTCTATTTTAAGACACAAATTCTAATTGTTTTGTTCAATCCTTATCGACTAGACAAAAAACACGAAAAAAAGCAAAGCAACGTGAGTTTATTTGAACAGAAAGGCATGTGTCCACTAAAATTCATTGAACAAACAACTACGAGGAAGAAATCGGAATCCTATAAACGTGAGTCAATAAACCCAAACTAAACATGTCCATTCTAAGCTGAGGTTTGGTCAGAAGATGCAACACAGCAGCTACAGTGAAAAGGTCAAAACATACAGAAGTAAATGTATGGGGACAATAGCCCAAAAGTAAAAGCGTGAAGCTCCGGAGCGAATGGCCCAGAAGTAAAAAAGTAAACACAAGAAATGTGGAGCCAATTACCCAAAAGCAAACATGTTAATTTCTGGAGCCAGAGATCCAAATGTAGAGAAGTAAATATGTAAAAGTACATGTTTGGAGCCAATGACCCAAGCGTAAAAACAAATAAAAATGCAAAACTGTAATACCAAAAAAACATTCAACAAGTAAAACTGTAAGATTCATTTTGGCTCCATAATTTTACTTTTACCTTGTTTTATTTTTTATTTTTGGGTCATTGGCTCCAACAAAGACAGAGGTAGATCCAAACCGACTGAATTCAAGATTCCCTGGGAAAAAATGGCCCGAAGCTTTCAGATTGTCTTTGGAAATGCGCCTTTATTTGCTGTTTTCCCCAAAGCCCGAAAAAAGGCGCAACACACTGCACATACCAGTGAATTGTGAAATTCTGAAAGAAGGTAGGTCCATGGGGGGGGGTACGATGTATATATATATATGTATATCTATATATTTGACCCCTTTGGTGGACATCATTTAGGTGATTCCGGTAACCACCACTGTTGGAGGTGGCCGCAACTCTGAAAATGCATGCCCAGTTGGGTGCGGCGTTTTTGGAGGCGAACCTTTTTATGTTTGGGGGTCCATCGGGAACACAAGAACCGCCGATTTGGAGGGCTCCTTACTTTGACACGTGCCTTTCTCTCCCCTTTTTTGGGGGAGGGTTCCCCTACTAAAATCGACTACAGAAACAAGTTGGTACCCGTCTTGTAACCTCTCTACTGGAGGACCTAGTTGAGCAACAAACCTCTTGTTGAACCTCCTCCACCCGGTACCCCGGTCTCAATTGCCATGGCCGTGAAGCTGGGTTGCCCCGTCAAGAATCCGGGAAGTGCAAGTTGCTTGCCAAGAGAGCTATAACTACCTTATATTTGCTTAAGAATATTGTTTATTTTCCCCTTGCTGGTTTTAAAGGGAGTCTATCACTACTGGAAATATGTTCATTTTTTCCAGGGGGCTTAAGCAAATGAAGGCTACTGGTAGAGGCCTTTTCCCGGCAGGGGAAGGTAATCTCTAAATAGGGGTGTGGCTGAAAATAGTTTCCAACAGGGCTGGTTGCACTTTGGGCTTTTTGCTTGAAGACCATCCAGGAGGAGAAAGAACAAGAAAAACCCTTGAACACATTCACACACACACACACACACATGTGAGCAAGGCACAGTTTTATGGGTGTACCGGTTTTCGGTGGGCCCAACCTATTGGTTGAGCGGTGCGTATCTCCATCGAAGGCGGGGGGTTTGCTTAAACACAGCATCAGTAAGGCCAAGCTCAAGAACGACACACCGTGGTTACCTGAATCACCTAAACAAAGTCCACACGGTTCCCCATGAAAGGTCACCTGCCCCACGTGCAACCCAAAGCGGGTGCTTTTTCACTGCTCAAGTTGAAGAAGCTCCGGCGGTAAAACGACCTCAGACAGGCGCGTCTACTTTTGGGGATCCCTTGTTACCATCCGGGTAGTGAGATGTTTAGTTCGGGCAGAAGTTGAGCTTGCTTTTCCGAGCTCTTGATCTCCATTTTGCTTTAGTCTTGTTGCTTACTCAGCAAACAAAAGCAATCCTGAAGCGGTCGGACGCGTTTGGCCAGGTTCCTGACTGGATGGTCCGAGTGGGATGCCAAGTTTCTGGCCGAGCTCGAGTAATGGGCACGAATCGGTTGATCCTTAATTATTTTTCCCATCATCAAAGCTGCTATAGGGCGGTTTTGCTGGGACCGCGATCGTCCACTTCCAATGCTGGAAAGCGCGTGGTGGAATGGCAAGCACGGCAGAGCAAAGCGCCCTGTGATTACTTCTTTGCTGCTGCGCGAACTGCGCGGCGATGCCTGGCAGGTTGTTATTCGGTCGTGCAAAAATGCCGCGCATTCTCACGAGTCTGTAGGTCACCCTGGCTGGTAACTGCTTCCAAGAGGCTGATCTGTGTTTGTCCCGGGATTCAATCGTTTACCCTAGCTTGATAGGGGTATGGGTGTGTCTGTGTTTGAGGGCACGCCTTTTCGTGTTTGTTTCACAGGGAACCAAAAGGACAACCAACCGTTTTGGGGTTCCCCGATTTTGAGACAAACCCATGTCTGAAATCATGGTTGCGGCGCCTCGATCCGTTGTGTTTTTTCAGGTCCGAGCGCACTGTGATCACTTGGATTTTCCTTGATACCCGCTGTGGGTTGCGAGCCCATGTCGGAGGGCTTCCCTTCAAACTCAACAAAAAAAAGGCGAACCCTCAAAATGTCTTTAGTGGGCTCAAATCCTTTTTTTAAGGTTAGTTTGAGGCTCTAGACCCCTCTTTTGGCATGGAAATTCCACCGAGGGTCTGTTGGTTGGGCTACCTTTTTTTCAACACACCGATTCGACGTCCTCCAAAAGTGTTCGTTGCAGGTGCTGGATGCCAGCAACGACTTCTACAAGGAGCTTGCCTGGCACTTGGACTCGCATCTCCTTCCAACTGACTCCTAGGTCCCGCAGCCAGGTGCCCTTTCTCACCGCTTCTTTTTTGGTTGGGAGGGTTCCCCTACTAACATATGTACAGAAACAAATATGGTACCAACTTATTCTAACCTCTCTACTGGAGAACCTAGACTCCCTGAATTCCTGGCCTTTAGACTTCTTGGGACGAGCATGTTGGTAGTAAACAACAAGCTTAGGCTTTGTCTGACCAATGAACCCAGGAAGTGAGCCAAACACTGTGGGCATTATGTGCCAACACACGGAGACCCCCTTAAAATCACACACAGACATTAATTACCCACATTCATCCGCCAAATGGGTCAAATGCTGATATATGATTTAATACATCTAATACACATATATATATATATATATACATTTTATATATATATATATATGTATATATGACATATATATATATATGAGTTTGCATCAAAATTACCGTCATGTACTTTATATGGGGGTGTTTCATGCACGTATTGTGTTTGTGTTTTTGCTGGAAAAAACGATACGGGACGTCCAAAAAAACGATACCCCTTCAGCAAGTGGGCCAGGATGCTAAATGTCGGGGGTGGCCCACTTGACACCAAAGCGCTACCCCTGCAGTTACGAGGAGACACACATTTGGGGGTGGCTGGTGAAAGAACTGCAATGCTGGAGAGGGCAAGGATTGTAATGCCATGAATTGCCAGGCAGCCTTGCAGCCGTGCAGCCACAAACCGGCGGTGCTGGGCTAACACAGGAAGAATCACGATGGGTTGAGGAGTGCGTGTTGAGGAGAAGTGGAAAGCTTTGACCCAGGAGGGGCAGCATGCTCGCATAGAGAGAGCTGCCTCGGCTCCAAAGGCTGAGCCGAACAGCGCGGAAAAGCAATTGTCAAGGTAATCGCGAAGAGTGCCCGCGAGAAGGTGAAGAAGACCACTGCAGTGAGGAAGCCAGCCTCTCAGCTCCAGCGCCGGCGGTGCTGCGGGCCTGAAACTGCCTCGAGACTGGGAGACAGCAAGGGGCGCACTTGCTGGACAAGGGCAGGACTTGAGGAGGCAACGATGAGAGCGTGGCAGACCCAGCAAGGGGGGAGAGCTGATTGAGAAGAGGTGCAAAGCTAGGCAAAAGCAGCGGCGCAACAGCCGTTGGAGGAGGACTCTGTGTCAAGTGCAAGTTCCTCCTCCTCAAGCTCTAACTCAATCTCTGAGGGGGACTAAAAGGAATCTGCGGCCCGTGGTGTGAGTTGCTTTGCTTGCAGGGATTGCGCTTTGGCCGCCGTGTGGTTTTATACCGGGGAACGCCCTCTTGTGGGAGCTTCCATTCCGTTGCTGTTACGTTGGCGCTGTCCCCGCAAAGAATCGTTTGGTAGCAAGCACGGAGGCAGGGATGTGTCCCGTATCCACGGCCTGCAAAACGATACGGGACGTCCTTTTTAAGCAAAACCTGTAAAACGATACGGGACGTCCTAACACCGAATGAGTACACCCCAGACAAGTAATTTTGACGCTGTCTCATATATGTATGATATATGATTTCTATATATACACTATAGCAACGATACTGCCTACACCCCGCCTCCCCCAGGCTGGAGTTTCTGAGCCGGAGAAGAAGCGAAAGATCATCGGCAGGCGCGCATCTATTTAGACGAATGCGGCGTCCCAATCCGCCGGTTTGGGCCCTTTGACATGTCTGTTTTCTTGGTGGCTCCCAGCCATCCCCTTTAGCTTCTTAGCTTTTTAGGGTTTAGAGGGGTTTTCCATTTGACCTACAAAAGCAACTTTTAGCGGGGGATCCGAGGACAGCCCAGATTTCTGTTGAAACTGATGGTCCTTGGTGCGAGGCAGGATACCAAAAAAAACCAGCCATCCCAGCTGATTCGCCTACCATTGTTAGGCCAATTGTTTTAGGTGATGCCATTGAGCTGATCCAAGGCTGCGACGTCATTTCGCAGGCTGTGTCATGGGGGCGACACTTGGGGAAGCAACGGAACCTCGGCAGATTTCCGGGCCGCTTGGTTCACACGTGAAGCAGGAAACTACAAACCACAAATGCCTGACTCGAAAAGAAGGTATGGCTTAAAGGAATTCCATTCCTGGTGGTATATCGTGCAGTTTTGTACCTCTGTGCTTTCTTTTCTGGTTACCTGGTATCTGAAGGCCTAATTGATTGAAACCAATGCCCAAATCTCATGACGGCAAATTCAGGTGGCTAAATAGCTTTAGTTCTTGCTCCTGAGTGAACCCACAAGGCGGTGATGTTTGGGTCCCGTAGGTGCGGGTGTAACGCAGATCCCAGGTAGCACAGGCAACCAGCCATTTCCCTTGCTGTAAAACTGGCCGAATGATTGATGCTGGCAACACGGATGTTACCATTCAATTATCCCATTTCCCTTTGATACTGGTAAAACTGGCCGAATGATTCTATCATCAAAGTCACCCCTCAAGTGGTCGGTAGGGAAACCAACAACCACTTTCCGACTTTGACGCCAAGAAATGGTGCAAAGCAGCTGACCCCAGTAAAGGGTTCCCCTTGGTGTCTGGCTTACTGGCTTCGACAGGTCCATCCATCTGGGTCTGGGTCAAATGTTGAACCACAAAAAATCAGAAATCCGGAAGAATCGTCATCATGTTTCCCTCTACCAGCTGGCCAGTCCTAGTTGTTTTCCCAACAGCTGAAAACTTTGGGGTCTGCAGCCCAGATAGGCTCCGGGGTGGTCCGTGGCAGCCCTGAGGTAGGGTTCCACAAGGGTTCCATGAGGTTCTGCGAGGGCTGCGGGGTGGTGCGAGCACTTCCATGTTTCACCCACCACCACCAAGCAAAAACCTGAGACCGCCACCCTCTGTTTCACCCCACGTCCGCCAAAATAAAAACCCGAGACCGCCGAGCATCTCCGAGCCGCGGAAACGTCGGCAGGCTCTTCGTGGAGGCTTTCGAGAAGGCGGTCTCGGAGATGGGCTTGCCCCACGAGAAGCGGGGGCCCTCAGCGCGGAATCGGAAGCGGAATGGGATGCGGGGGATGCGGGGGTGCGTGGCTGGGAAGGGCTGGTAGTTTGGAGGTTGGGCAAGGTTTTTCAGCTAGGTGCCCTTTCTCACCCCTTTTTGGTGGGGAGGGTTCCCCCTACTAAAATATTGTCTACAGAGAAAAGTTGGTACCCTTATTCAACCCTCTCTACTGGAGGACCTGGTGGGGGTGGCTTCCCATTCACCCTCTACAAGAACCAAGTAACAAGCTGGCTTCCACTTTACCTGGCCTCCCATTTACCTGGCTTCCCATTTACCTGGCTTCCCATTTACCTGGGGGTGGCTACAACAACCAGGCATTTGACCCCAGGTAACCCTGGAACAAACCTAACGTGCGGCGGGAAGGGCTGGCGGGAAGGGGCGTGCGGGGACGCGCCGGGGGGACGGGGGGAGGGAGCCAGAGAGCGCGGCTCCGAGGAAGTGTTCGGGGAACGGTTCGTTCGGGCGAGTTTTGCCGGGTTTGAAACTGTTGGGTTCAGATTTGTTCATGCAAGCTTCTGGGCTACCCAGGAATGTGAGCGGTTTTCAGCAGTGGGGGGGGGCTGACTTCGCTTTTGTGGGCACGGGGATTTTGGACATTGAAAAAGCCGGAAAGTTGGGCGCCGGGTGGAAAGAAGCGCTCCTTTTTTCCCAGGTTGCTGTGGCTTTGGCTAGGGATCCGAAGATCAAACCAGTTGAAGGTTGTTCAAGCATACCTCCCTTGTTGGTTGCATATTGGAGCGTTGGACCCTTGGAACGATTTTGTTGTCTCTTGAAATGTTTTCTGAAGGTTCGACAGAATGTCGGACGGCCCTTGTAAAGTCTGCTCGGAGCTCCCCCTTGAAGGGCCTCTCTCTCTTTGTGGAAATCCCGGTGAATTTCAAATGGCTGCCACGCGCAGGTGCTTGCTGCTGCAGGGCACATTGTACCCCGATGTCATCGAGTCGACCTCCTACAAAGGCGCCGATCGATGCTTGAACCAGTGAGTTGGGTGTCCTCAAAGCCGGGAGAAGGGCAAGAGCAATCCCAACAAGACATAGGTATCAATATCCGGATATCCAACCTTGTTTTTTTCAAGGCTCTGGGAGGACCAGTCTAGTACCAGCCTTTTTTTATATGACTACCGGATATGGGTACCCATATCCAACCATTTTGTTTTTTTCTTCATGGCTCTGGGAGGACCAGTCTTGCAGCCGCCTTTACTGAATTGAGGTCAGCCTGGAGGTGAGCAAGTGCAGAGCCTAACAACAAAAACAATGAAGTTCGATAGGCGGCCTTTTTGTCGTGGCTGCGCTGCGCACGGACCGTGAGTTTCAGTCTGAGCGTGAACTGCAAGCTTCCATTTGCTTAATATTTGTTTTCCCCCTGTTGGTTTTCTACTGGATTTTTGTTTCAGGGGGCTTAAGCAAATGGCAGCAAGCCAATGAAGCCTATGTGAAAGCCGCTTTCTCAGAAGCTGACTGGTACACTAGCACTTGTTTTCCGCTGGATCAGGTTGGAGTTTTGGCAGACCGTTCATGTTTGTTTCGCAGTCTTGATAGAGCCCACATTGAATATGTCAAACATATGCTTAGGGCTGGTCACAATTCCGACACCACATCAGCCCTTTGGTGATTGAACGAATTGGCTTTGGCACTTGAGCATTGACCAAACATTTGAGTGAGGCAACATGTGCTTCAACCCCTGCACTCTTTCAAACGAAACCAGAGGGAGTCGTTTAAACAATAGTGCACGCACCTTTTAATGGGTTGGCTCAATAGTGTTAAACATGCTGGGGGGCTAGTCGGGCTTGTCAGGCCCTTCTAGCGTCATCAAGACCCACCACAACGTCGCGAGCTCAGTGGCCTTCGGCTCTTGCCTTGCAGTCTCTTCATGAAGTACGTGAGCAATGGATAGGAGGCTTTGTGCTTCTCTTTTTGCAGCTTGCTGGCCATGGACCGGGAATTTCCGTGCACATCTATAATACTCATGCAGATGTGTGTTGGAGCTAGGGGGGGCCTGCGCAATCTTCCCTAGTTCACGAGAGTGGGGGGCTCTGCCCAGCTGAACAGCAAGCAAGAAACAAAGTGTGTTGTTTCTCGGTTTCTCTTTGCTTCGTTGTGTGCAATGGGAACCCAGGATTGATCGACAAATTATTCACCTGTATTTGTTCTCCTTCTACATGGATGCTCGATTGTCAATGTCAGACCCATCAGACACGGAACGCGTGTCCAGCCGAAGTATTTTGGTTGGATTGAGTCGATGTACGTCACCGCCTGGGTGGACATTATAATGATCCCTGGCTCATATGTCTTTCGGCAGTTTGTTTCTTTCGGCCTTTTTACTCACGGGATTGGATCTTAAGGTCGACACCTTTCTTGTCCAAAGCCACATCCAGGGAATTGTGCCAAAAGCTTGGGCAACGACATCGCCTTACGAATCCCCGTGGCCGTCTTCTGAAGTCCTTCGAAACATCACCCTACATCCCACGACCTATGTTTGCCATTTTCTAGGGGTCCTTTGGTCAACAAGAACATCCCGGCAGGTGGGCGGCTTGCCTGACAGGATGAAGATGGAGGTCATCGAGCCGCTGCGGCCGAGTTCTGAGCGTTCGGCCGCCAGCGGCCAGTTCTGTTTCCCGAGCATACGGGGTGTATAACCATAGGTTTGTTATTTCTATAGATACACACAGTATGCATATATATATATATTCTCACCAAGAAAGGAAAGGTAGGCCCTGGGACCATACACATATATATATATATAGTATACATATGTATGTCATTAGTTGGCTTGACCCGGCCCTTTTTCCCAATCCGCATCGCCCAGGCTGCTCTTCAAAGACGAGGTGCGGAAATTGGGCTGCAGCCTCAGAGTTGCAGACAGCACGCTCCCCGAGAGCTGCTGGTGAGTGGACGTGGCTTTTTTGTTTGACCAAAAGAGGTGATTTTCCCTTTGGTTTTCCTTTGTCATGGACATCCAAAAGAAGTTATGGGGAAGGGGGTCTATCCCCTATTAACCCCTCAATAAGGCCTTTTAAGGGCTTATGCTCAGCTTATCTTAGGCTTATCTTGGGATAGCGTCCCCCATAGTGTGAAACATGCCAGGCGTGAGTTGGATCATCCGCTGCCACCAGCACCGGGGCCCTTGCACCGCTCGCGGCTAGGAGAAAACAGGAGAGTGCTCTGTGCTCGTTCATCTTAGCGGAGCATGTTTGATCTGCTCAGTGGGTGGTGCAATCAGTGCACTTGGACTCTGCAATCAGTGCACCGAGACCTCGGGGCTCGAAGACCGGCGCTGCCGGCAAGGTGAACATAAAGATCTCAACATCAGGTGGTGGCCATTTTGGCCACGCCTGGGTGGCCTGGCAGTGCAGTTTGCCTCGCAGGGTTGGAAGACAAGGTTCAGCATCCGGCTGGGCCACACCTGCTTCAGCGATTGTCTGGTGAAGCATGGAGACTTCACGGGGCATCTCTCCATTGCTCAGACTCGCTGCGATGGCGGGTGGCTACAGGTTCTGCGCCATCGATGAGTTCCTCTTTTTGCTGAAGCGACGAAACGGCGAAGGGGCAATAGCCTTCGCATGCAGATTTCGGACTCAGCTGGCACATGTAGAATCTCTGATCGCGCAGGAGGGGGCCCTGGACGAAAGGGCAAAAAGCAGCGCGCTGGCAAGGACAAGGAGCCTCGTGATCCTAGTGCAGCAGTATCTTGACGGGAGCAAACTCCGAGCGTCACTTCATCAAGACAGGGCTGATCCGGAGACGGGAAAGCAGCGTCTCCTTGTTGCTCTTGAGGAAGGACACCTGAAGGCCGCTGATTTACCCGCGTCAGTTGATGTGCAGCATGCCGTGAACACCGCCATCAAGCCATGGTGGTACATGGATGTTGTAGTTCTGATCCTTCAATCACCGAGGACTGAAAAGGTCAAGGTGGTTTCCGGAGACGAGTCTGCTGCGACGAACTCTGAGCTGGAAGAGATCTATGCAGTCCAGCAGCAAGCCAAGAAGCATTTCAAGACACACAAAGAGTCTCGCCGCAAGGTCAAGGAGATCAAGAGCAACGGCTGCCATCGTAGTTGCTCTAAGGAGATCTATGATGCTGCAGTCAGGCCGTGTCCGCTGGGCGTCGCCCTTCTGGGTGAATAACTTGGTCATGTGCGCTGATGCGTTGACGAAACTGAAAGATGAAAAGATATGCTTAGGACTTTGATCAGCAGTGGAGAATATTGCATCAAGAAGTGCGAGGAGTCGCGTCATAAGGAAAAGGCTCGGCAAGAGGCAAGAGGCCCAGACTAGTTTGATTGTTTCCCGCATCCAATGTTCAATCGCCATGCGGTAGTGCAATTGTGTGGGAAGCGCAGCCCGCGCTTGTGATAATCATGTTCATTCGTGCGCTGGGAGCCCATCCGCTTGTCCGAGTCTTCATTCCTGACAATCACTTTCATGTGCACAGAGCCATGTCTACCAGTGATGCACCCCGCTCCAAATTGGTCAAGGGGCATGTGCATGACCGTGATCCAGTATCCACCAGCGTGCCCGCTGACGATGACAGCTTTGAGTTGGCCGAGTTTCCGGATGACCCGCAGCCGTCCAAGGGAAAGCCGATCTCGCCAGATGAGAAGGATCCTTGCGTGAACGCGAGCCGTCCCTCGCCTCCGTTTGCATCCCGCACATTCGCCTACAAGGAGATCATCGAGACATTGGTAAGCACCTGTCTTGGGTTAAGAACACATATAAGCAGAAGGGCAGCGCCCTGGCGTCAGACTTGGCTGAGTATTTGAGGTTTGTCTCTCGCGACTACAAGAAGGCCAACAAGAAGCTGGTGAGACATGCCATGCATGAGTTGGCTCATCCGCTGCCACCAGGGCGCTTGCGCCGCTTGCGGCTAGGAGAAAAGCATTAGAGCGCTCTGCGCCCGTGGGGGTCCTTCAAAAGGACCAAAGCAGGGCAATGCAAAAACCAGGTAAGGAAAAGTGAGTTTATCCTTCCCCTTGCCAGGAGCAAACCCGGATGTGGGAGTAATTGCCATCCATTGACCGTGGGTCATGGTGTTGTGTTGCTTTCCCTTGCAAGCGTGGATGGGAAAAGTCTAGTTCGCGCCAGATGCGGTTGGTGGTTTATCCCTTATCCCAGATTGTCCATCCAAGACAGGATGGCTCTGAAACAGTGTTGAAAAGATGCGGAAAGGTCCTGATGCACATTGAAAGTGCAACCAGCTGAATATCGTCTTGAATTGCACCCTGAGAGAAGTCAAAGGGAAACAACCCGACATTGGAGGCATTTGCTTCTCGTCGGTGCACATTCGCTCATGTTTACAGGTCGGTCGGGCATTCGCTGGTTGAGTTGAACTTGGTGGTTCCCAGCCATCCCCGTAGGCATTAAGGTTTTTAGTTGGTTTAGTGGTTGGCTTTCTATTTCACCCACAAGTTAAACTTTGAGTAGGGGATCATTAAACAGACAGCCCAGTGTTGTCGGTGCCTTGTTGGCAAGGAGTTCCTTGTTTCTTTATTTTCTTCGACCTCCATCGCGGCTTCGATGCAAGCATTCCGCCATTTTCGTTGGCCTTGGCTTGCGGGTGGCAGCACGAAGCGCGTGATGCCGGTGAGGCAATGAGCTCGGGCTGCCCGTGACCTCTGCCCGGCTCTTAGGTGTGAGTTGGGCCCACGGCAGAAAGCATTGGGTTTACCTTTTGGCCTACATTCTGAATCTGGATTGCCAGTGGGGAACGGATCTTTACGGGAAAGCAAGAGTTTCCATTGAACCCGCAAAAAGTTTAACTTTTGCAGAGGGATCAACAGCAACCAAGGGATGGCGTACAATTGTGGATGGACTGTTCTTTTTGGAGTTGCTACCCCCTTTTTTCCTGTTAGTTTTAAAGGGGAACCAAAAAACAACACCCACCCTGTTTATGGGGGTTTCAACATGACACACCACCCATATGGATGGATGTAAACACATGCGACCCATTCAAGGTGTAGAAACTCGTATTCCGTTCCCTTTTCTTCACCCAAACATTGCGGATGACAACAGGTAATTCAAGGCAATGGCCACCGACGTGCACACAAAAGGACGCAAGAGAAGCTGAGCTCCTGATTTTGGGTTCTGGGCTGCTGTCGTAAATTAAAAGCCATGCTGTGACCAGTGAGCATCTACAGGCAAATGCCGTGTGCGGTCGAATTTCACTTCATGAAAAAGCGAGAGAGATCATGAATACGGGGGGGGGCAGGTCAGATCTGGTAGAATTGAGTCAGATTTGGTCGAATCAAATGGCGCGTTGATTGAGTGAATGGCAACAAATCAGTCGAGGATCCAATGCTCCAAGCTCAGAGTCGACGAGACATGTTCATGTCAATTCTCGGCAAAAGGCCCCCTGCACACGAACATCAGCACGTTTATCGCATGGCAGAAGCCGATTCATGCTGTGGATGGGCAAACTCCACCAGTTGGGATGGATGACACCGGGGTTCAAACCATTAACTCAAGGGGGGCTAATATGACACCTATGTCATCATCCAAATTGGGTCCTTGCCATTCTTCTAATGGGGGTTGAATCCTAGGGCTATGATCACCGGTTGAAGACCCAGTCCCAACTTGAGCAAAGCTGGCGAACCACGAATGTCGACTGACTCGTTTCAAATGGTTTTTCCAACGGAAACTGGGGAAACCTTTCACCACGCAAAGACGCACACATACACTATATGAATGTGTCGTTTTTCTTGTTTTTTCTCCGCGCAATCTGGGAGGTTCGGGTAAGAAAAAGTCTATAGATTCAAGAAACAAAAACAAAAAACTCATACCTCTACAGTTTGGAATTTTCAATTCATGTACGGCCTAAAGGAACAAAACAAGAGCACACGCATCTCTCCGATCCCAGGTCATGAGGCATCCCTTCCCGGGCCCGGGCCTGGGAATTCGCATCATTGGCGAGGCGGGCGTGGGTTTGGGCCGTCCCAAGTCCAGCTCGGTGCCTGTGACCCGTTTTTGGTTGGGGAGGGTTCTCCTACCAAAATGGACCACAGACAAAAAGTCGGTACCCCTATTCTAACCTCTCTACTGGAGGACTTAGATTCCTTTTTCTTCTGGACAGGCTCGCTTTTTCGGAAGTGAGATCCTTGCAAACAAAAGAAAGCCGCCGGGACGGGGTTGAATATCAATCCGCATCCTGCCAGATGACAGCGGTTTCGCTTGTGGTGCCCCGCTGTTCTCATCCATCAGCTTAGAACCTTTGAGGCCTTCTTCCCGGCTGACAGGCTGGCCCCTCTTAAGAACATGTCCTTCCATGGGTCCAGTCCGGTTTCATGTGGGTAGGGTAAGAGCTGCCGTTTGAAGACTTCCCCGGCAGTCAAATGTGTCCACGGAGCCATAGGATTAAAGATGCCAGTGCGCCCGTATCCAATGTAGATCAGACTTGCTGATTGGTGATGAATTCTGACTTTTGTGTCTCCTGGCGGCTTGGGATTCCTTGCAAAGAAGCATCATGCACTTTGAACCCTGAAAAAGGGGAAAGTGAGAGCGAGCCCCAGTTGGGTCACTGGCCCTTTGCCCGAAACCCACTGCCCCCCTTTTCGCGCAGGTTACCAAGGAGAGCGCGGTCACGCTGTCTGCGGCTGATGACATTTACATCGAGGAGCGAGCCCCAAATTGCTTGTTGGTTTAATCAGAGATCTTTATTGACTATGCTCAGTTGTTCAAAGCCGACCTTTTGACCTGTTGGTTGTTCCACGTTGGTCCATATTTAGTCATGGCCCCAAAAGGTTAACCTTTTAGATCCTTTTGGTTCCAGGTCCTTTGGGCAACTGAGTATGGTACATGTTCAGGTTCACTGATGGTCCAGAATCAAAAAGCAAACTTGTGGGGGGGCCATAGTTGAGGTAGACGTGTTGATTTCCTCCTGGTTTGCTTGAAATACCCGCAAGCCTGAAGTCGGATGATAAATTTCTCAGCAAACTTTGTTTATCTTTGCTGTTGTTGGCAAGGCTTTAGCTCTTTTGTTGGGGCTCTGTTCATTTTTATTCTATACAGGGCTGCAAAGCCGAAAGTTGTTGCTACCTTTGCAAATTCGTTTGGCGGGGTGTTCTTGCCATTTGTGGGACCCACATGAAGGAGTCCAGCCTCCCCAGCCTCGCTTGCAAGCGCAGTGGCGGTTTAGACCCACAGCTGTCGCGTTCAGCGGCAAAAAGGAAAAAGCGCGGACCCAGGAGCTTAGAAAAGCCGGGCACTATGACAAGATCGGCCAGGCGGCTGCCGCTCCAAACCCCGGCAGCAGCTGTCGGTTGTTCTTGGAGTTGCGTCTCATCGGGCCTGAATGGCTTCGCCAAGAAGGAGTGGCGGCTTTCCCACCGAAAGCATCAAGACAATATGGCTGTTCATCATTCTGCGGACATTTCAACAAATTCAGCGAGCCTTCGCGCTGGAAAACACTATTGGATTGCATTGGGGTAGCTTCAAGGTACCGCTCAATGAAGATCACGCAACTAATCACTTGTTGGTTCCCAGCCATCCCCTTAGCTTTTTAGGCTTTTTATCGTTTAGTGGGGATTTACAACTAACCCAAAAAGTTAAACGTGTAGCGGGGGATCTGAGGACAGCCCAGGTCACATCGCAGTTTCCATGTCGTAGCGCTTGCCCCAGAGTCGACTCATCCGAAGTGCTCTAGCATTGCATGTGGGGCTGCTTGAACTCACATGGGTATGGGTCAAAATGTTTCGCCACCGGGAATTGGACCGCAGGTTTTAGTCCTTGGTTCAATTTACCAGGGTTCCGTTTTGGGTACCTATTTTTCATGGCCATGGGCATAAAACCCCACCTAAATGATGTCCACGAGAGGGTCCCCAATGAAAACTCATGCACATGTAGGTGCTCGCGCTTCGCCTGTTGCGGGTTGCTCGCATTTGCCGACAACAAATCCAGTGATTTTTGAGTGTGTCCAAACCAGGGGGACCCACAAACAATGCTGGTTTCCTATTGGTTCCCTTTAAAACACCCCAAAACCTCCCCCAGTTCACGGACCAATCTCCTCCGGCTTTCGCAGAGCGGGAAGATCGATTCCGCCAGGCCTTCGCTGTGTTGCTGCCCACCGTTCGCTCTGTGGGCGTTATGGGCGATCACAGGAGGGGCGAAGTTGGGTCGGAGCTACGTGCCCGTCGGAACCGGTCGATTGAAGGTCGAGCCCTGGAATTCCACATATGGGCAATGATATATAGGTCTACACTTCTCTCGCCGGCTGACTAAACATGGAGTTGGGAACCCGTTACTGTATTTAGCACCCGGCTTTGTATGTCCCAAAACTCGTTGGCAGAATGTCGACAGGACCTACGAGAACGTTTGTGTGCTGAGAGCGGTGACAACGACGGACTTTATGACTGCAGCTTGAGCAGCACAGAGATCACGAGCTGCAACTTCTTCCTTTTTCTTGGACTTCCTGCGCTTTGGGAGAACCATGTGAGTGGTGAAAGTTCTAAATTTGTTCAGACTTTGTGCCAGGGACTCGATTGGTTTGAGCCGATATCCACTAGGATCCTTTTGTTCTGCCCCATTGGCGCTGGCATTAAGGCCGTCTTTTGGAAGCAAGAATCAGCGATTAAAAACATGGTTGACCCAATTGGGATGATGACAAACCGTGGTGATTGTATGATGATGCCAATAATGGTGGTACATGAATCCCCATTGGTTTTATGGTGTGTTGAGCCCCTGGGCTGATTTATCGATAGCATGTGTAAAGTCCCTGGCTGCGACCCACACGTCTTCGAAGAATGAGCAGAAACTTGGCAGAAGCCCACCACCAGGCCGATTGAGTCTTGTTCTGGGCTTTGTAGGTTCGCAGAATGGGCTGGAATGGCTTCTATGAAACATCCCTTGTGGTTTTCTTTATGGGGATCCCCACACAGTGCATTCCCCCCCCCCCCCGCCCTTGCAATCTTGAATTCCTTCTGAGAGCCAGGAGGTCCTTTTCGGGTTTAGTGGAAAAGTTAAAGGGAACCACCTGTCTTGTTTGGTCCAAATCAATGTGCTGACAGGTCAGTTGAACCGTTTGACCTTCGAAGCCTAGGCCGATTGGTACGACATGCCCCATGACTTGTTGGCACGCATCTCCAACCGAATCATCAACGAGGCGCTTCGCGAACCGCGAAGGGGAGGGTGTTTGTTTGTTGATTGGTTGGCACATACTCCTATGGCTGGGGCCCAAAACACGTACCAAAGGAGCACTTTGGTGATTTAAATGGAACCAAGGACTAAATCCCGCGCACCCTGGATCCTAGCTCGTTAATGTTGAGCCACACCCATATCAGAGCTGAATATGTGTTTTTGGTTTAGCATGTCAGCGTGTCCAAAAAGTCGGGCGCTCCATGAATGGCTGGTGTCCAGGCTTGCACTAGAGCACCGTTCAATCAGGGTTCCCGGTTTCAGGATACCGGGAGAGTCAACGTGTGCAACAACCCGTGTTGATCCGCGGCAGAAAATGTGTTTGTTTGGCCACCGGAGAAGACTCGTCGCATATCGTCGCATGCTCTCCCCGAAGGTGACGCTTCGGACTTAGAATCACGCGTTTGCATCAATGCTCTGTGGTTCAGCGGCACCTGTTTGTTTTCCTCAGCCGGTTTGTTTCAGATCCTTCCCGTGACCTTTTTCCCCTGACGTGAGTTTTTGGCTTTCGGGGTGTTCGCTTGGGTGAACGCCCGAGCCATGAGCATCTCGCAGGTGAAGGGCATCAACCGAGTGTGCTACGATGTCTCCTCCAAGCCTCCCGCCACCATCGAGTGCGGGGCCTGGATGAAGCGATGCCTCAAGGATTGAACCTTCAGGATACGAGAAATGCGGGCGAACAGCCGGTTTCGCTCGTTTGCACCTGTTCTGCCTAGGATTTTGTGGCTAAGCAGGTATACAAGCAAATGGCACATCAGGGGTTCCAGCAAGGAAAGCCGAGTCTGGCGCTAAGGTGGGAATGAGCTCTTCATCACGTTTCACTGATCGATTTCAAGGAGCAGGCTGGACTAGTTGTGCCATGGTCAGAAATTGTGGTGGGGATGGGCCCGCCAGATTTTGGGAGTCTTGACCATGTCGCACCTGGAGCTTGTTTTTTTCGTCTCCCTGATTCAGTGCTAGGCTGTTTTTTTTCCGATTCAGATGCCCATCTTCCACTCATCAAAGGGTGTCAAAATTTATAGTGGGGCCGCAAAAGCATGGGATTTTTCGGTTGCTTTCCCTTCAAGACTCTCAAGATAAACACACGCCCATTTCGAGGTTGGCCGGGGCGGGGGGGTTCGAGCGCGGTTCGGGCCAGGTCATTGCTATGGCAGGGGCCCGAGTGCACAGCGGCCAAGCGCCATGGTCATGAAAGCGGGGCCAATTTCTGTAAGGCAGATGCCCATGGCACAGACCAGGTTTTCCACGCTTGCCAGACCTATGCCCTCAATAATACCCATATAACATGGGTTCTTGCCCCAAACATATGGGGTGAGTTCCCATTGTTGAGGGTAGTTCTTTCGGGTCGCAGACATCGCCAGAACTGCGGAGAGGAGCCTTGCGTCTGAGGTTTCAATTGTGGATCTGACCTGAAGGCCGCGTTTCATGCCGTTCCAAGGCGCGGAGAGATCTCTCCTCAACATCACGGCCCCAGACTTCCCCCACCCAGCCCCAGCTTTTGGCGCCAAAACTCCATGCCTTGGGGTTCACTGTGGTGCTTAGGTCCCCCTTTTGTGCTGCCTGGCTATGGACTGAAAGCAGTTGGTTGATTTAGATTTCGGAGAAAAAACCGGCTCAAGTGACTTGTTGTTTTTGTTTAGCTGAGTCCTTGGTTATGAGTTGTGGCCTTCACTTGCAACAGTCCATAGCAGAGGCCATCTTTCGTGGTGGCCTCGCAAACAAAATTAGAGGCATTGGGCCAGTTTTGCGAGGCTGCCAAGCAGTTGGCTGCATAGCTTAAGGCGGCCGTTGGTTTCAGTACATCAGCGGCCACAGCCAGGTGGTTTTGCAATCGGTAGAAAATGCCAGGCTCGTCCCGAACCGTGGTTGCGACGAAAGAGGAAAAGGCAGCATGCGCATGCTGTCGTGTCAGACGAACACTTCGCAGGATCTTGGGCACGGAAGGTTTTCAGAGCGAGACTCCGAGGCTGACCAGATTGCGGGGACCCATTTTTTCCCAGTCCAATCTTTTTTGGCCTTGTCACCTTTTGGTTTCTGGGTCAGAAAAGAAAATAAGACTGGGGTTGAAGAACAGTTTTTTTACTGAGGAAGTTGCCTACCGCATATCCGTTTGTCTCCCCTTTGGTTTGTCATTGTAAGGTTCAGAAACTAGCAGGAATTTCTACAGGAAGACCCAAGCACATTGTTGGTGATGGTAAACCTCCTGTATTTTTGGTATTTCCCTGAGCTAGGTTTCATGGAGCCTCAAAATTTTTGTGCCCTCCAAACAACGCACCCAAAGACCAAACCGCGCTCTGCAACATGATCCGATCGGAGAGCTCCCCTTGAGGTGGCCCCCGGAGGAACTTGACACGTGGCGCAATTCCAATGTACCACCGAGTCCCACAGCACGTGCCATCAAGCTTCGTGGCTCTCAAGGCAATGTATTTGGCTCAGAATTAAAGAACTAGGAATACAATATTTTAGTCTTTGTTTCCATTTACCAGAACAAGCCATTTTGGGTATCCATTTTTGACCCACAGCCATTTTGTTTCTACTGGTTCAAGACCCCCTCCCAATGACAAGGACTCGGAGGTCAATTCATGAGTTCAGGCTGCGGCACTGCTGCGCTGCCCTAGACTTATGCGCACGGGCACCTGGTGTCGTTGGCTAGTCGTTGATGTAACATAGACTACAGCTCTCTTCGTTTTGGCGGCTTTCTCGATACTGCCTTTCAATCCAACCAGGCACCCTGCCGCATTTTTTTGTGCACGGAAAAATACACTCCCAGCTTGTGCAGAAGCGTTAGAGCCAACTAGTCAGACGGGTTGCTAGTTGCATCTAAGCCTGAGGTGTCGATCGTTCCCGATCGTTTCCTGCTACACATGTTGCACAGATGCTTGGTTGGTTCAGTGGGTTGGCTGGCTGGCTGGTTGGTTGGCTGGTTGGTTGGTTGGTTGGTTGGGTGGCCGGGGGTGGGTTGGTTGGTTGGTTGGTTGGTTGGCTGGCTGGTTGGCTGGCTGGCTGGCTGGCTGGTTGGTTGGTTGGTTGGTTGGTTGATTGATTGGTTTCCTGCTTGGGGGTGGTCGGAGGATGTGTTGATGTGTCCCACTGTACCAGGGAAGCTTACCTGAAATAGTCATTGGAACGGCCCACATGTATCCTGAATCGGTTGCCATTCTCACCGCCCGCTTCGAAAGAATCGGTTCACACAATCTAGCAGGTAAATTTGCCACAAGCCGCAAGAAGGTACTGTCTTGCCGAGTTGCATTGGTCGCTGGCCAATTTATTGTGCTCGTCTTCGTCACATGACTTATTTTGCAGTGCGGTGCGTGGAGGTCGACTTCTTGGGTTGAATCTGTTAAGAGGTTCTTTGTGGCTATGTGCTGGGATCTTTGGACTTTCACTTTTTGTTTGAAACAGTGGATTTGCCATTGGACCCACAAACAGTCAAGCTTTTGCAGATGGGTCAACAGCAACCAAGAGTTTGCTTCTCACTTTTTACCAGTTCAGACGCGCTGAGAAGGAACGTGTTGACCTAAGACAGGGTGTTCTCTGCTATTGGGCCTGGAATAGCCTCAACTGTCACTTTCTAAATGGGTGTCCACCACCAGGTGCGCTTGTAAATGCATGACCTGGGGCGCACTCACCAAATGTCAGTTGAGCCGCAGAAAAACCATTCGTGCACGAAAGCAGCATGCCAACGAGCTGCTCTGGAGTTGGAACAATGAAGGCAAGGCATCCCAAGGGGTGCTTCGGTGGTGTTGTTTGTTAATCAAGGTGAAGGATGGGTGCTCTTTGTTTTAAAGGGAGATAGTGACTAGTGAAATAGTGCTGTTGGTCTCACGGGAGAATCGACATGGAGTCGTGTTCCTTTGAGTTGGCTTTGAAAAAAACAATCAGAGAAACAATTCAGAGAAACACCGGAGCAACACAAAGGGCGGCGTGTTTTTTTTTGTGGAACTGAGGGGACACCGTGCTGGCACCAGCAGCAAAGGACACAGGGCTTTGCGGTTTCGTTTGCGTAGTTTGGATGGTTGGGGTGTGTGGGAGGGAGCCCCAAACTTTCTGACATCCTTTTGCAGCAGCATCACCTCCTTGTTTTGAGCAAGCACCTTCTCAGCAACCAAATGGAGGCCTATTTCTATAGGGGCCGTGTTGCCTTGGTTTCAATGTTACAATGAGTGCACTGTCTCTCTCTCTCTCTCTCTCTCTCTCTCTCGCTCTTTCTTTCTGTTTTTCTCTGTCTTTCTCTCTGTCTCTCTCCCTCTCTCGTTCTCTTCGCCTCTCTCTCTCTCTCTCTTTGTCTCTCTCCCCCCGATAGGGGATGCCATGCAAGGAAGTGGTTCGAGAGAGGTTCTTGTTGGACAGTCGCTTGAGTTTGATACTTCCTAGTTTATCTATGATGCAAGGACAGTCTAGCCGTTGGGATGCTCTATTCATGGAAGGAATTGCGAGATGGTTTGCCCTGGTATATACCGCTGCTGCCTCCCCACTTGCCTTGGTGTGGCTTGGTGGCTTGGACGCTTGTCTTCCCACTTGTCTCCTCACTTGTCGTGTCTCCCTTCTTGTTTCCTTGTTGACCCTGACACTTACCAGGGGCGTGCGCTTTTTGCTTCCTTGGCACTTACTTGTGTTTTTGGTATTCCACGACATGGACAACGACGATATGGAATTGTATGCGCGTTGCATGCCTCACTTCCTGAGTTGCTGGACTTCTGGACTTTTTGGGAAGATCAAGATAGTAAAAAAAAAACAAGAGTTAATTTGGACTCTTTGTTTTTGGCCATCAACTCAGGAAGTGATATGCTTCTCTGATGTTTCTCATCCGTGGCGGCTTAGGAGCTTTCGTCTCGACGAGTGCTGTCTCTGCTGGAACGGGTCATGCAGCTCACCACCACGGTGGTTGAGGGCTCGGTGCGCTCCGCGCTTGTGCGCAAGCGCACCTGAACCGAGGGTTGCTTGCAAGATGGGCAACCGAAGCCCGAAGCGCAGGGACACTTCCAACCGCGAATCTGTGCTGCCTGCCTTTGGATTTGCGCACATGGTTTTGGGTAGATATGACAACCACGATGTTGTAGATCCCCTTATTTTCACGGACCCATCCGATTTGGAGCCATGGCAAGGGCAGCCATTGCAACCAGCAAAAAACATGCCGCTTCCATGGCTCCCCACGCTTTGGCTTTATTGGATAGACCCACTCCAGTCTCTTTACCCAGAGGCTCCCGATGTATTTAAGCCCTCAAACAGCCAGGTTTTGAGACCGCGCAACACCTCCAGGATCTTTAATGGAGGGGTCGGGTCTTCCATTGAAAGCCCCAGGAGCCTCTGGGTAACAGGAAAATTAAAGGAGGTTATAGGAGGTTGCTTACACAACAGTCGCTTGAGCGCGCCATGAGGTTAAGGGGAGCTTGAGAACGGACCCAGAATGACTCTAGTCCTTGGTCGTTCGTGGCGCCTTACCTCATAACCACTTTGAACGGATGAAACCCTTGGACAGTTGAGACGGATGAAACCCTATGAACGCTGGGATAAGTAAGCCACCCAGCATTTGGTGCAGGACTTTGTCCGCAGTATCATAGGTGTCCCTTTTCGGACTTGTTGGACATGGATGCATCCCGCCGATTTTACCTTTGTTCTGACCATTTACCTTCCACCGGTTTCAGCTTGTTTCTTTTCATTTGCCAGCTCGAACGTGGTGGACCTCAATCCGACCATGCAACAAGTGTCAACCCAATTGAATTTCAGACCTATAAGGTTTTTTGTTTGAAGAATGACCAACAAACACATCTCAGGGGTGTTGAGACACCCATATTCCCATTGTTCTTTTCAATCAGCAGGTGTTTCTGTGGCTTGTTGTTGTTCCGTGATAGAAAGATCCCTCAAAGTGATGGTTTTGTGATTGGCTTCCAATGCTTAGGAATCAGCCGTACCCCCAAAAGATTCGCCATGCGTTCACATGGAGCCGGCCGCGCAGCTTTTAATCCAGAGGAGATTCCACTGGCCGCCGTTCTTCGGGCCGACCCGCAAGTTTCACGGAAACCATGGGACGATGTGTCCAAAGCTTTAATGGTGCCCCACCCCATAGCCAAAACGACCTTTCGGGGTGCATGTTGGTTTCCTTTCAAGGCGATCTCCCAAGCAACATCCCTAGTCGCACAGATAGGCTATGCGACAGGATCTTGTTTGTCCACAGGGGAGTCAATCAATGGCAGGAGGGCGAGACTTCTAGGACCCTCGGCATGCCGGCTGTTCTGATACAATGCACAAACTTGCCACATGTCGAGAAACGGACAGCACGCCTTGCCCGCGCTATGCATGATGGCATTTGAAGCTCCAAGCCGGATGCAGGAGCCATGTTTCTTGAACAGAGCCGCCACACCACTTCCAATAAGAGTTGCCCGAGCCCCTTCCCCAAGGATCCCCCCACAGGTCCCCTTAGTGAGGCCTTGGTCTTGCCTGAGTAAGGTCTGTTTCAGGCACCCCTAAGTGGCGCTCACAAAATTTATCGCTCGCGTTCTTGCTGACAGGTTCCCACAGGTCGTTGTTTTTTGCATTTCGCTGCGAGGAGTCTCATAGCTCATAGACGGTAGAAGGAATGATTTCA